GAGGGAAGCTGTGCATAGAGGGGAGAATCCTTTGCGCTGTCTATAACCTCCATGTTAGTATTGGAGGGAGTGTGCACAGGTAAACTAGAAATCCAGGGAGCATGTTGAATCTGTTCCAGGGAGGAGAATTTCCCTAAACAAATCCTTGCTTTGTTGGTGTAGGCAAACTGTTGTTTTTTTCCGGGGCGTCTTTGTGTGCAGCAACCTGCTTGTCTCCTCTCTTGACTGTAAATAGTCGTACCTGCCAAACCGGGGTGAGGAAAAATCATTATTTGAAAAACAAACTTCCCTGCAGAATCGTGTGTGAGGCTAAGCGGGCGAGTATGCTGGGAAAACAGATGGCAAATGCTGGAGCTGAGCGTAACGTACAGAGATCCTCTGTCCCGGCTTTTTGAAATCCCACTTCTTTTCATCATAGCCCTTCTGCCGAGAGGTCTAATGGAGCCTCTCCTCCCACATCACTTATGACATCTCTGCATTGCCACCAGTCATGACTGGAAGAACATCGTGTGGTCTCTTGAAACTTGTTTGTGTAGGATGGGGTTTAATCATAGAGGAGGTCTCTTCTATTGCGAATAAAATCCCCTCTGTTCCTACTCAGGTGTCCAGCACAGGATTGTTCCCTCCAGTATCTTCTGTCAAATCTGCTTTTCAATGTCTCAGAAGACAGGGCTCCTCTTGCCTTGGGAGATGATGCCAGAGCCTTAATAGGTCTCAGTGTTGCTTAAATTTTCCCTTTTGTAATTTCAACCCATTCTCTGTATTACTTATCCCTTTGTGCCCTCCCAGCCATTTCCTTTCCTCCTATCGAAACCCTTCCCAATCTTGTAGACAACAGTCCCGTACCCGGCCCTGCAGAGTCATCTTTTCGTACTCTCTTCCCCTTCAAGTGTGATGAGGACTCTGAACAAACTCTGTTTGCCACATTAGCCTCCTTCTAGCCTATATCTGCACTGCAATTATAAACACATGGCTGACCAGTGCCAGCGGGCTCGGGCTAAGGAGCTGTTTAACTGCTTAACTGTAGCCATTTGGGCTCGGGCTCTGGGACCATGTGAGGTAGGAGGGTCCCAGAGTCTACACCTACATCGCCACCCCTTAGCCTGAGCCCGAGTGGCTGGCACAGACCCTCCAGGGGTGTCTAATTGCAGTGTAGACGCACTGTGTCTGTTTTGCAGGGCAGAGCTATTTGGCTGGGCATTGGAAGAGTACCACTGAGAAGCTCACCTGCATGGTACGATAGATGTCCTTGGTGCAGTGTGGTGATGTCTCTGGTGGTGGTCAATCAACTGAACAGAGATCCCCCTTGGAATGACCTATTGTGAGGGTTAAAAATATAACTAGACTAAACCTACTTACTAAGCTGTCTACAGTGGCTTTCTTAGTGGTTTTTAAAACTCTGCTTACGCTCAGTCATAGTGTAACAAGTTTCTAATGAGGTCTGGCTGAAATGAATGAGACCAAACCATATATAAAAACAGGTCTAGCTGAGACTCAGAACTAGGGTTCTTAGCCTGGTTTGGCCCCATATGTACTGGCCACCTGAACCATGTTAAAATGTTCACTTCCATGGTGTCTATGTCATTCTTAGTCACAGGTTTCAGAGTAGCAGCCGAGTTAGTCTGTATCCGCAAAAAGAACAGGAGGACTTGTGGCACCTTAGAGACTAACACATTTATCAGAGCATAAGCTTTCGTGGGCTACAGCCCACTTCATCAGATGCATAGAATGGAACATACAGTAAGAAGATAGATATATACATACAGAGAACATGAAAAGGTGGAAGTCGTCATATGAACTCTAAGAGGCTAATTAATTAAGGTGAGCTATTATCAGCAGGAGGAAAAAAACTTCTGTAGTGATGATCAAGATGGCCCATTTCAGACAGTTGACAAGAAGATGTGAGGACACTTAACATGGGGAAATAGATTCAATTTGTGTAATTACCCAGCCACTCCCATGTTCTTAGAACACTGCAGATCAATGTAGCCTCCCCCGTAGTGGACCATGGAAATGCATTATGCTAGTGTAGACAGTTACCTGCTACACTTAGCCACGTGCCTTCACCATAAAGACCATGCTTTGGCTCTAGCCTTTGGTTTGGTGCCATCACACAGGAGTGTTTGTGATGGCTTTCTACATCAGTGGCTCTCAACCTTTGCAGATGACAGTACCCCTTTCAGGAGTCTGATTTGTCTCACGTACCCCCAAGTTTCACCTCACGTAAAAATGACTTGCTTACAAACTCAGAAATAAAAATACAAAAGTGTCACAGCCCCACTATTACTGAAACATTGCTGACTTTCTCATTTTTACCATCGAAGTGTAAAATAAATCAACTGGAATATAAATATTACACTTACATGTCAGTGTATCTTATATAGAGCAGTATGAACAAGTCATTGCCTATGAAATCGTAGTTTGAACTGACTTTGCTAGTGCTTTTTAGGTAGACTGTTGTAAAACTAGGCAAATAGCGAGATGAGTAAATGTCCCCCCTGGAAGACCTCTGACTAACCCCGGAGTCCACGTACCCCTGGTTGAGAACCACTGTTCTACAAAAGTTTGGAACGGATGCAGCCTTAATCTAGGTTAGTATCGTTCCACAATCTGTTTTGTGCAGAGCTGCAATAACAGGACCAGAGCAGGCTAGGGTGTGCGTGCGCTGTAGCTGTGTTCTTTGTATGATGTGACTTTGCTGTCTGTGAAGACATGCTGTCATTTCTTATTTAGGACACTTTTCCTTGGTGTGCTTTGAGAGACCACTCCCTCGTTGATCCCCTCTGCCACAGAGTAGCTGTTGCTTCCCACTAGGTCGTGTAGACCACATGCATGTGTGCGCGCCAATTTTAAAACAGAACATCAGTATTCAGACCAACAAGGGCTCTTCTGAGAAACTTGTCCTGTCCTTCCCCAAATAAACCTAGTGAGACAGAATGGTTTTGCTAACGTATGTGTTTGTGGGGACTCAGAACAACATGCTGCTGACAGATAGTCATAGGGCTTGTCCGTAGCGCTGCAGCGTAGAAATTATCTATGTTGATGGGATGCTCCAATCGGCATAGGCAGTCCACCTCTCTGAGAGGCAGTAGCTAGGTCAGTGGTCTTCCATTGACCTAGTGCTGCTACAGGGGGATTTAGGTCAGCTTAACTACATTGGTCAGGTGTGTGGATTTGTGTCACCCCTGAGTGAAGTAGCTGGGTTGACCTGACACTTCTGCTAGCTAAAGTACCAACTCCTGGAAGTGTCACAGTTAAGATGAGGGGTGAAAAACCCAGCCACTCGTAGAACTCTTACAAGGTTAACCAATTTATTTGAGCATGAGCTTTCGTGAGCTACAGCTCACTGAAGTGAGCTGTAGCTCACGAAAGCTCATGCTCAAATAAATTGGTTAGTCTCTAAGGTGCCACAAGTACTCCTTTTCTTTTTGCGAATACAGACTAACACGGCTGTTCCTCTGAAATCTTACAAGGTTGTAAACAATCATTAAGGAGGTAGGGAAATATATGGCCAAATCATGGAAGATCTTTCATACAGCATCTTAGAATTGGGTTTCTTGAGTGTTTTGGGGTTTGCCAGATATTTTGCCACTTATTCATACAAATCTATTGATGTCAAAGGGGCAATTCTTCTAGTAAACTTCATCATGTATATTTCTGTAGCGCCTTACGGAGCAAAAGGGTTAGATATGGTTTTATAGCACAATATTCCAATGGGTTATCTGAAGGTTACTGCTAGAAGTTGGCCTATGTCTGTTTCAGATAATCCACTCTTTGGGGCATAAATTGGATCCTTTTCTATTCTCAGTCTTTCTGCAGGTTTCAGAATCCAAAGTCGCATTCAGATCTGGTGTAAGCAGTGCAGTGCCGTTCACATCAGTGGAACTCCACCCACAGAGGCAGTACGGCTCCTTTATGATGGAGATGGGAGGATTTGTTTTATTCTGATCTTTTGGGCTGGTTGAAAATTTTACATCAAAACTTTTTTTTTTCCCCGATAGAAAAATTGGGGTTTTGACTAAAAGTTTTCTCTGGCTGTCCACAGAGAACTTTGGCTGTGTTCCAAGAGGCAGTAAAGAATTTTTTTAGATCCTTTGGGCATTCCGACAGGCACATCTTAGTAGGATCCAAGTGCCAGACGTGACACTAGAGTTGTGAAGAGTGGGATTTCAGGGTTTGCTAACGGGGTTTTTGGAGACGTATCGTTGGTGCCTCTGTGTGCTTCTTGAGCTCTATGAATCCTGTTCACACAGCGAACAAACGCTCACAACTCCCATGGGAGGGAGGGCTGTGCTTATTCCCATTTTACAGAAGAAGATGCAGCGGAGAGGGGCAAAGTGATGTATGCCCAAGGGGATCAGAGCTGGGACTAGACAGCAAGGATGGCCTAGTGGTTAGAGCACTGGTCTGGGACTTGGGAGAACCAGGTTCAATTCCCCGTCCTGCCACAGGCCTCCTGTATGACCTTGGGTGAGTCAAAAAGGTTATGCCCCTGCCGCAGTCCTAGGGTGTGACTGCAGCTCGTGTAGACGGACCCGAGCTGGTTAGATTGAAACTAGCGCGGGTCCCAGAGTAGCGAAGCCTGGGCGGCGTGGGCTCTGGCGAAGGCTGTACAAACCCACCTGGGTAATTACTCGCAGCGCAGCTTCACTGCTGCACAACCCAAGCTAGCTAGGTTAAGGCTAGCGTGTATGTGTCTGTGAGCTGCAATCACGCCCTGGGGCTGCAGTGGAGACATGCCTTAAGTGTCTCTGTGCCTCAGATCCCCCTCTGTACAATGGGGATAACAGCCCTGCCGCCCAAGGGTTGTGAGGATAAATACAGAGGCCCATATGGTGACGGGGGTCAGAACCTGAGACACAGACAGACAGCTGGGGTTACAATGTCCGAGCTTCTGGTCCTGTGCATGGCCTGCTGTTCTGTGATGCCAGCAGGGTCCGTGTCAGTCCAGGAAAGTTTCTTGCACTGTGATATTAAATCGTCTGTCTTCCTTTTCTTAGACTCTTCCGGATTCTTCACGATGGGTGACATGAAGACCCCGGATTTCGATGACCTCTTGGCAGCTTTCGATATTCCGGACATCGACACCAATGAAGCCATCCATTCTGGCCATGAGGAGGCTGAGGCTCACATCAAGCAGGTCCCCGGGGAGCCCGTGGCCCCTGAACATGTCCTCCCGCACACAGACATCACTGCCGTCAGCGTGATAGTGAAGAACACGGTCTGCCCCGAGCAGCTCGACCCCTTGGATGGCCGCAGTAAAGATGGGCACGGCCTCGGGCCCCGCCTGCTGCAGAATGGCTTTGGTGCCCCCGAGTTGCCCAGGTCCCCCACCTCCAGGCCGGGGGAAGTGGTGGCATCGTCCAATGGAGAGTGCTGGGCATCGAAGGAAAAAGGGGCAAAAACCCTGGACATCTTTTCCCACTTCAGCCCCGATCCCCATGAGGAGAACTCTGCGGATCTGATCGACGGGCCTCGGGAGGGCAAACAGAAAGATAAAGCCCTCTCTGTGCCCTCTCTCTCCCCATCCCCCACCCCATCTCCTGCCCTGTCGCCAGACTGCAAAGAGCCAGCTGGAGAGAGCACAGAGAGCCTCCCACCAGCTTTCCCGCAGCCCTTTGAAACCAGCCAAGCAGGGGCCATGAATGGCTCCCCTGCCACCATTCCCCTGATCAAGAAAGAGGAATCCGACTCAGAGGAGCTGGACCATGGGGCCAGCCCCAAGGGTTTGGCTGCAGCCCTGCGTGACAGCCCCTTGGGGCACCTGAAATCGGTCACCGTCCGGTATTCCACGGATGATTCCCCTGTGACGTCCTGGCCCAGCTCAGATCCAAACCTTGACAGCAGCACCAGCAACCTCCCCGAAGTGAAAGACTCGCCCACCAGCCCTCAGGAGCCGTTCTTCAAACCTTCCCCGCTGGCGGAGGGAAGCCCCGGGCCCCTTGGCTCCCCCAAGCTGCTGGGGAGCAGCCCGCTCAAGGAAGAGCAGGAGGCTCTAGAGAAACCCCTGCGGAGCATGTCGAGCGGTGAGGAGGAAGAGGAGGACGATGATGATGGCAGCAACGACTCCCCCTCTTCCAGTTCCTCGCGGCCCCTCAAGGTACGAATTAAAACCATCAAGACGTCTTCCGGCAGCATCACCCGGACGGTGACCAGAGTCTCCTCCGATTCGGAGCCGGGAGCTGCCAAGCTGCCTTCGGAGCCAGGTTCTCAGGAGACCGCCACCGAGGGCGCCGTGCTCCCGGCTGCAGTGGTGAAAGAGGAGAGCATGCTGGAGGTGCCCAAAAAGAAAATGGAGCTCTCCAGCCCCCTGAAAGTCATAGAAGGGCCCAAAATTGTCAGTGTCCAACTCGGCAATGGCACCAAAATCAAAGGGACTGTCCTGCCGGTCACCACCATCCAGAACGCCAGCAGTGCCATGCTGATCGCTGCCAGCGTGGCCCAGCAGAAATCCGTGGTGCTGCCGGGCAAGGCTGTGACAAAGAACATCATCAACCTGGTGCCGCAGACCCTCCCCAAAGCCGACACCAGGACGAATGTCAGCACGGTGACCCAGACCACCACCGTCACCACCACGGCCAACCAGAAAGTCAACGGCACCACAGTGGTGATGGTGCAGCCGCAGAAGCCTTCGCCCACCATTGCCGGCACGGTCATTTCCAGGAGCCAGTCCAGCCTGGTGGAGGCTTTCAACAAGATCCTGAACAGTAAAAACCTCTTACCAACCTACAAACCCAACCTGAATCCTCCGGCAGACTCCAGCCTGGCTCTCCCGCCCTTCGGGTACCGCTGCTTGGAGTGCGGGGACTCCTTCGCCCTGGAGAAGAGCCTGGCTCGGCACTACGACCGGCGCAGCATGCGCATCGAAGTGACCTGCAACCACTGCACCAAGCGCCTGGTCTTCTTCAACAAGTGCAGCTTGCTCCTGCATGCTCGGGAGCACAAGGACAAAGGCCTGGTGATGCAGTGCTCCCACTTGGTCATGAGGCCTATTGCTCTGGATCAAATGATTGGCCAGCCGGACATCACCCCCATAGTGTCAGTGACCTCCCTCGCCGCTGGCAAAGTGACTGGAGTGCCTCAGGAGGCCATGGGGACAGCGAACGGGATTCAGGACCAACCCATCCTGCCCCTGACCGGCAGCTCAGAGCAAACCAGCTATAACTGCTTCCGCTGTCTGGAGTGCAAGGAGCAATGCAAGGACAAAGCCGGGCTCGCTGCGCACTTCCAGCAGGCTGTGACCCCGGGAACAACCCCCAGCACGGTAGGTAGAACAGCTCCAACCTTCTGCCAGAGGCCCCCTCTTTTATTGCAGGGCTGCTAGCTCTTTCCTGAGGGAGGCAGCGTGGCCTAATGGTGAGACAGGGCAGGCAGGAGACCTGGATTCTACTCCCGACTTTGCTACGGATTCACTGTGTTGACCTCAGGCAAGTCCTTTCCCCTCTGTTTCAGATTCTCCCTCTGCAGAATGAAGCTGTTTGCCCACAGGTAGAGGCATTCGAGATCCTGAGATGAAAGGCGCTGGGTAGATGCACTCTGTTGTGTTAGCAGCTCTCTCTACTGCCTCGTACCTGATTACTTCCTGTATCGTGCGGCTGCTATTTGCAAAATTTCTATTCACAGAGGCAGCTTCTGTTGCAGGAAACCAGGCTGTTGTAGAGCAGCGGCTCTTGACCTTTGGGGGCTCGGGACCCATTTGTAAACCTTGGTGGCCTGTTGCGACCCAGTAAATAGCTTCAGTGCAAAAAAAAAAAAAAAAATCTGGTTTACGAAATATCTTACCTACCATGTGAGAGAGATGTTAACACCGTACGTACCCTAGCAGCAGGTAACGCAATTTTAGTACTGCGCGTCTGGCTGGGCTCGGCTCCCCGCAGCCTCCGGGGTTGCAGCACTAATATGGCCCAGCTCCCCTGGCTGGACGACCAGGCCAAATTTGTGAGAGTGGCGTTGCAACCTGGTAAATGGAGTCACGGTGCCACTCAAATTTGGCCCGGCTTGCCCCTGTCGTGATGGCGCTGAGCCTGGCCGGCCCCATAGAATTGGAGCCAAGGGAGCTGACTCCCATACGGCTCGTTGACACGTTCTGGTAGCCAAGTTTTGGGTTGAAAAACCTTCTTGTAAAAGAGAAGGAATTGACCTGGGAGACTAAATGTGCTGCCCTTAGTGAAATAGGGGATGTAAGCATGTGCAAAGTTTGAAGACTGGAAGGTGAGGAAGATTGCTGTGGCGCAGGAACGGTAATCTCAGACAACTGGATCTGTTAGTTAGCCTGGGGGAAAATTCGTAGGGAAGCCTATAGCTGAAATGGAGAAACCTTGAAAAACTATTTGAAAGGGTTTCAGAGGAACAGCCATGTTAGTCTGTATTTGCAAAAAGAAAAGGAGGACTTGTGGCACCTTAGAGACTAACCAATGATCTTAAATTGACTGGATGGGGTCTCTGCTCTGTCACTACAGTTCAGGGTCTGCTGACTCTACATAGCTATGCAGTTCCCAAGAGAGTTCAGAGTTAGTGTCCTCCATGCTCCCAGTATCTGGTTAGAGAAGAGCATAAAGTTGCACATTCAGTTCTATGTAACCCACTTACACCTGGTCCCTTTCAACTCATGTATATTTCAGAGATACCAGACAATTTCCCCAGCTTCTGTCACTTTCATGGAATGTTAACTATTAGCAAGTAATTAATCCTCTGTTGCACTTTTAAAAAACACATTTCTTTGTATTATCACTCGGAAAGTGGCGAGTCTCTTGGAAGCACCAGATCTAGGGTTTAGTTCTGTGGTGGTCCAGGTGGGGTAGATTTTCCGTCACTGGCAATTTTTAACTCAAGGTTGGATGGTTAATCAAAAAGAACTCTAGTTCAAAGAGGAATTAATTCTAATCATCAAGTTAAATCCGTGGAGAAACCTGGATGTATTAGCTCCCTGCTTGAGAGCTAGGCCTGAGATCCCGTCCACTTCCTGTTTGCTGCTAACACATCCTGGTTCGCTCGGCATGATGGCATCCAGCAGTGTCTCAGTATTAAAGCGGAGTATAGATTTGGTTTTTAAAAGGCAGAATGAGCTTGAATACAGTTTATTCATACCTTGGTATCCAGAGTCCCATAGGGGACCTACAAATACTGCCCACCTTAACTTTGTCCTTTTAAATTGTTAGGCTCATTGGCTTCCTTCCTGTGAAAGGAATTGGCTGTTGCACCTTCACTGTTTGTTTACTTCCGAGCACTGTGACAGCCAGACGATGGTTTAAATTCAGGTATTACGATGCTGTAGTTAAGGCTGAGCATTGCTCTCTGTTTAAAGGTTGGCTCTAAAATCCTCCTGCTCACTGCAATTGGCTTGGAACTTGCTGTGCCCCATGAGGATGCAGAGTGGGGATAGCAGTCCAAATTTGGGGCTATTTGAGTAAGGGGTTCCTGAGATACAGCCCTCTTAAAAACCAGCATGGGACAAATCCAGCTGGTTCTTGTAACACTTGTTTGCAGACATCTGGGGCGCTTACTATGTCTGTCACTTGGCATTTACTCTGCCTCGTGCACGGCACCCGTCACCCTGTTGGGACACAATATTGAAAAAGTTATTGACCTGAGAATTTGGACCTAGAGAACAGATCCAAAGTGATGTGTGTGTGCGTGGGGATTAGGGGGAGGATGTGGAAATGTGCGTAAGTATGCCATCAGCTCTGCTTATTCAGAGTCCCAGAGTAGCTCAGGGGGATGTGCTGTAGTCAGTGACCCCCAGCCATCCTCATAGACCGGGGGTTCGAGCCTGGCAGTAGGCTATTTCTGCCTGTTAGAAAGGAATTCTTTTACACTGTTTGGAAAGTAGCATCTAGTATCCCAGCAAAGTTAGAAGGCCCTGTTAGTGTCTTGAATGTACTGCTGCTCTGAATATTGCAATGCTGTGTATGATGCCCATGCCTGGATCATGCAAAGTGTACTGCAGGGAATTCTGCAAACCAGGGTAGACCCACGCTGATTCCTCTCCAGAGGGACCTGGATGGGCACGGGGGACGTGCTCTGGTGGCTCAACTCCTAGACCATGAGGTAGAGTCCTGCCCTCAGCAGGCCTTTGAGAACGAATGCTGGGCCCCGGTGCTAGGTTTGGCTTGGGCGGCACCGCTTTCTCAGCTGATACAATTTCCAGCCCGGCGTGTTAATGTGACTCGTGCAGAGTGTTCTGCGGGGAAGTGATCGTGTACCTGGAGAACAGGGTATGCCCTGAATTGCCGACGCAGCACTCTCACACAGCTGGAGTTACGGATAGCATGCAGACCATGGGGAAGGCTGGCCTTTCGGGGCCTTGCTAGGTTACAAAGGCTGTGGGTGTCTGATGTAGAGATTCCCAAAGGGTCTGGAAAGCTCCTTGAGACCCAAGGAGTGTTAGTGAGGAGTAGCCTTTGTAGGAGAGGTGTGGTGGCTCTTGGGGACGGGTGGGTGGTGGATACTGCAGCCGGAGGTGGAATTGCCAGCTTGGGTCGAGCTGTGATTAAGCTAATGTTAAATAGCAGCAGGAGGGGCTAGCCATGGAAGGACTTGGTGTCTGTCTGCCCCAGGAGGGAGTGAGGTCTTTTCAAGGCTAAAGTCACCTAGAGCAGTGGTGTACAAACTTCTCCAGTCGCACCCCCCCCTTACCATTAACGGAATCTGTTCATGCCCCACCCACCCCCATTACTGCACAACCAAGGCTATGCCAGCACTAGGCATAAGCAGAGTAAGCAATTGGTTGGGTCTGAGCAACCCAAGGGGGCCCCCTAGTCACTTTTTGTTGTTATGGCTCCAGTTGGTCACTGATTCCATGATTTTATGTAATCTTTGCGCCTCAGCCAGCTCAGGCTGTAAGCCCTGGCCAGTGGTGGGCTTGGGCTATCTATTTGAGGGAGGGGGGGTGGAGGAGGGGAAATTACTTGCTTAGGGCTCCCAATGTTTTAACACTGCCTCTAGGTTGTGTGGCCCACTGAGCTGAGATGGGGTGGAGGTGGTGCTCCTTCCCTGCCCTCTGTAGGGTCCCTGCCACAGGCTGCCTGGTGTCACCGCTCACCCACCTCCCCACGCCCCAAACAATCTGCCAGAGCGTGCCCCACAGTTTGTCATCAGTGCCTGCCAAGATGTGGGGCCACATTCTTAGGGTGTCTGTCAGGGCTGCAGCGAGCAGATTCCTCTTCCAGGACTGTTGGGCTGAGGTGCCCTTTGAAAGTGTCTGTCTGAGAAAAGGTGAATGGGCGAGTGCCGCTACCAGCCATGGGAGGGATGGAGCGTGCCCCTGGCTTCTATAGCTGCGGAGAGTGGACGCTGGGCGTTTCACAGGTTGGACAATCATGCTCCTTAGCCAGCCAGGGCTCAGCCTATGACCAGATCTGCTTTAAGCTGAAGGTGGAAGGGTAGATAAAGGGGCAAAGGAGAGGGAAAATATGCTCTGGGGAGGGCGGGGCTGAGAAGGGGAGATGCACACCTGCCTCCTTGCGAACACTTAGTTATGGTAACCCCCATGGAATGAAACTTTCAACCCCTTCTGAAATAACCCAGGCCTGTGCTTTCTCTCCCTGCCTTGTTAGCAACTGCGCCCTCCAGACATTTCCCCGCAGGGCCACACTCACCACTGCACTACAACAAAATGCACAGAAGGGTGAAGAACACTTTGAGAATGACACCACGTCCTTTGCCACAGGAGCCCCTTACCTTCAAGCCCACCTGATAATCACGCCTCCCTCCACTAACCCTGTCTCCTGCAAAGAACAGCTCTTTCTGGTTCCGAAAAAAAATTCACTGCCAAGAAGCGTTGGTCCTGCAGAGTTAAGGGTGGCCGGTGGTACCTTGTGCCTTTCCAGGACTTCGAGTTCAGCTCAACTCAAACTTCTGAAAAGCAGGAACTAGAATTAAGGGAGACACCAGCTGCGCAACGCAACCGTAACTCTGTCATCTTTGCGCAATGGCCAACATGCATCCTAGCCCTGCGCCTTCAGAGTACAGAACACTTGGGTAACAGGGCATTTGAGCATGGGAGCGGCTTCTAACACCTATGGGCATGTTTGGGCCACAGACACTGTTTGCATAGCCCCGTCAGCCAGGGTTTTTCCAACAGCATGGGAACCCCACCTCCCCGCTGCAGTGACAGAGGCGCTCTTCTGTGTCCGTATGCGGGGGAGATTGTTTGCCAGCATAGCGGCGTTGGGCCGGAGCAAGGGTTTTCTCTCAACCCTGGCTGGCACAGCTGTGACTATATAATGCTTCAGTGTAGACCAGGCCTAATGCAAAACATGTGTTTAGATCCGCGTGCTCAGCAGGAGCTACCTACTGCTGCCCTGCACTCGCACCGAGTCTGCTCCACAGGTGTAAGGCCAAAATGGTTGAACTGTACAAGGCCGTAACCCCCTCTTACGCTCTCTTCAACTTTACTTCAGGATTCCAATTAGCACCGTACTTCCACTTACCCCCCTGCCCATTAACCCCACAGACCGCGTCTGCCAATCGTCATGGCAGGGAAGAGCCATGTATTGCTACTGACACGACCTACACAACTTCCTCATGTCCCCTTATTACTGTCACCCTTACCAAAGGATTTCCAGGGGCAGTTGCCAGCCCCCAGGGAGCAGACTTAAGGTGAAGTTGCGGAGATGGCATGTACCTTACCTCTTTATTTCCTGGCTTTCGGAAGTTTAGCTGAATTCACATGTTCTGGAAGGGCACAAGATATGGTGAGACAGGCAACCTTAACTCTGCATTGACAAAGTGAATTAACAAGAGGCCATTAGAACTGCAAGGCAACTGTATTGTCCTTCTTTGCCTGTGTTATGTCCTTGATGTCTGATCTCAAAAGCCCAGATCTGGTTATAACTGGCCTGTCCCCTAACCAAACCCTCCTGTCTGCTTTTCCTTTGTTGTTTAAATCTCTTGTGCTGCCTGAACTTGTCAGCAGAGTTTTCTCTGCTTCAGTAACTCCTAGGATCGGACAGAGCTGGAGTGAATACACACACAGCTCTGGAAGCTTGATCTAATTGCAGCTTTGGTTGCCAAATCTAAATAAGGGTGCACTTCAGACACACGTGCCTTTTCCCCGTCTCTTTTAGGAAAAGTCAGGACTGGCGTGTCCTGCAAAATGCTCTCCCAAGCGTGCAAGCCTGGACTCAGCAATGGAGTGCCAATCTGGGGCCCCTTGAGTTCTGATTGTCTGCCCTAGCTCCAAGGGTGTTGCAATCCCTTTTCTCCATTGTTGAGAGAGAGGCTCGCCAGTCAGCGTACAACAAACCGCTCCAAGCCTGTAACTCCTAGGCTGTTTTAAACTAGTCTTTGCTGCTTTCTATTGTCCAGTCCATTGCTCCCTGCTATTTTCTTGCTGCTAAATTGTACTCCTCCTAGCACATTGGACTCAAGCCTGAGTAATTACAGGGCAAGGTATCTGGGGGAAGCAATGTCAGGGGCCCAGAAAGGAGGTATATGGTAGCTGGCTCTAGGCTGTGGATTTATGCAGCAACCTTTAAATTCCAGATGCGTCCAAAGCGCATTACAAATTCATGGGGAGCCGTCCGCGTTGAAAGGGTTAATTCAAGCATTTCTGTCCTTCCCAGACTTCTGCACGCACTCCTCCTTTCTCCTTCCATCCACTGGCTCCAGCTGTCGACCTTGGCTTCTCCTCCCACAGCTCCTTCCCCAGCATCACCCTTCCTGTGGCCCCCTTCGCCTCCTGAAATCCTTATCCAGGCTTCTGCTTCCCTCTTAAGTACCACAGCTCCCCGAAGCGTGGCCTTCTGGAGTCCCGGCACATGCTGACCGACCACAGCTCTTTCACATACAAAGACCTGCAGCTCTACCGCTGAGCCTGCTGGTTTGTTCTAGGATCCAGTTCCAAACTGCCCTCTGTTTTTATGGATTCACACAGACCTGGTGTGGGGGTGTCTCACTATCACCTTCAGCTTCTCTGGCCATCTGCTACAGCTTCCCGAGTCCGCTCCTCCTCAGCTCCTGCCATTCAGGACAGGCTTTTGGTATCTCACTGCCTCCTTGAATCTCTCTCTCAATCTGAGCTGTAAATATCCCCTTCCCCTCCCTTGTCTGTACCTCTTAATGTCTCTCTCCCCTCTAATTTAGTCTCGTACAATGGCAGAAGAGGGGGTGGGTTCTGGAACCAGTTTGGATCGAAGATGCACCGCAGAGCGAAATTCCTAACAGACCGCTCTGGCTTACATTGAATGGGGCTCTTCCATCTGTTTGTTTTTTATTTACGCTTTTGAGAAGCAGAAAAAGGCACTTTTATTCCACACTTTGTGTTCTCCTAGCAGCCGTTGGAAAGCAAGTCAGTACAAGCAGCAGCCGCCCAAGGGATACAAGTCACTGAACCAGTGCTGCAGTGCCGATGCAATCGACATACCCTGCCCTCGCTAAGCAGTGCCCTCCAAGCAACCTGGCTGGGTGGCTGTATTTGGGCTGGTCTGGTTCACACTGACTGTTGCATATTAATGTATATTGCAGACTAGGGTTCTTTTCTTGGCTCTGTTGAGCGACCTTGGGCAAGTCTCTGTGCCTCAGTTTCTCCTCCTACCCCGTGTGACTTTTCCGTTTAGCTCATATGCTCTTTGGGGCATGGATTCTGTTACCATGGGTTAGGTACAGAGCTATTGAGGCACCTAGTGGCAGTAACAAGCAGGGCCTTTTCTCAGTCCAACCTTATGAGTTTATACAGCATCTCGTGCCATGGGGCCCTGATCTCAGCTGGCCTCAGGCCAGGGGTGGCCAACCTGGGCTCCAGAGCCCCATGCGGCTCCTTGTATAGGCACTGACTTTGGAAAGTTGGAGCCTGTAGCTCAAGACCCAATGTGCTGGGGGGTGCTCACTGCTCGACCCCCTGGCTCTGCCACAGGCCCTGCCCCGACTCCACCCCTTCCCACCCCCTCCCCTAAGCCTGCCGTGCCCTCACTCTCCCCCCCCCCCCCAGCATGCTGCGAAACAACTGATGGAACAGCTGATTGGGAGGGAGGGGGAGGTGCGGATTGGCGGGGCTGCTGGTGGGCAGGAGGCGCTGCGGGGGACTGCTGGGGGGCTGCTGATATATTACTGTGGCTCTTTGGCAATGTTCATTGGTAAATTCTGGCTCCTTCTCAGGCTGGTCACCCCTGCTCTAGGCACTATCATGATACTAACCCTTGCCTGCCTGTGCTGGGTTGGAAAACAGTTTAAAAACAGCCCCCTCTTTGTAAAATCAAAACTTGTGCAGGCCTAATTCAACCACGCACCCACCGCTTCTTTATACCATACGTTGGGCTTGGTTAGATGTTTACAGGTGTTCCTGGGGCTAGGAATAGAGCCGGGAGGGAAGGGGACACGTGGCCAGTGTGTTGCTCTTGTACAACCTAGTGAAGTCGGTGGCAGCAGGAGGTGCCGCGCGATGGACGCTCACGTGACCTGTGCTTGCTTTTCTCCCCCGCCCCCCAGGTGTGCACGACCTGTCCCATGATGATGCCCAATCCTTGCAGCTTTAACGCTCATCAACGGATGCACAAAAACCGACCCCCTCACGTGTGCCCTGAGTGCGGCGGGAACTTCCTCTTGGCGAACTTCGAGGCCCACCTGAAGGAGGCCTGCCTGCATTTCTCCAGGAGGGTGGGGTACAGGTACGACGCTGCAGCTCTGCCATGCTTTCAGCTTCTCATTACATGACACCAGGAGCTACGCGGGTCTCAACTTTGGCAGCATAAACCGGTATCAGAGGCTTGTGATCACCCTGGCCTTCCCGCAGGGCTGGGGATGCGTCCTGACTCGGTCCCAGCTAGGTAGGAGTAGCCTGGAGGGGTCCCAGTCAGGTTAAGTTGAGAAGCACGGGGCTAGCCCGATGACACAGGCTTTGGGGGGCAGATGCCACAGGGAAAGGTTTCCATGCAGATTCTTTCTGCTTGGCTCGGTCACTGGTGCAAAGTGGAGGATGAACTATCAGCTTTGCTTCCTTCTTTGGGCTGTCATCCGTTCAACTGCTGATGAAGAATTTTCCTGTTGCTGTAAGAAGGGGCAAGAGCTCCTAGGTGAGCAGTTCAAATCCATCCCTGGTTGGCTGTAACTGAAACGTGTGATGGCTGGTGGCCATGTGAAATTAGGGGGTTTGGAGGGATGGGGTGAGGCTCATCCCAGTTCTTTCTGGGCAGATGTCCACAGCATGCCCCACCGTCTTAACTGGCACAAACTGGCCCCTGGGATTATCAATCTCAACAGAGGCCAAGGAGTGAATGGTGGTGGAGCCTGGCCCTTCTGGGTCAGGGCTGAGACACCACGGCAGGCCGACTGTTGGCAGGAACCTAACTCATCCCGTGGTGCACCTGGCCTGTTAATAAAGAGGCCTTCTGGATCCAGGATTGCCAGCCGGTCTCCTGTTGCCAGCAGCTAGGAGAAAGATGCTCCAGCGGTTAGGACTCTAGACCTGTTCAGTTCCCTGTTCTGCCACAAAACCCCTTGTGTGACCTTGGCCAAGTCAGCCTCTGTGGCCCATCTGTACAATATGGTGAATAGCCCTGCCCTGCCTTGCCTCACAGGGGTGTTCTGAGGGTAGACGGCAAGTTTAAAACAAACATAAGGAAGAACTTCACACAATGCGTAGTTAACCTGTGGAACTCATTGCAGGGGGATGTTGTGAAGGCAAAAATCTGACTGGGTTCAAAAAAGAACTAGATAAGTTCCTGGAGGATAGGTCCATCAACAACTGTTAGCCAAGGTGGTCAGGGATGCAACCCCCTGCCCTGGGTGTTCCTAAACCTTCAACTGCCAGAAGCTGGGACTGGACGACAGGGGATGGATCATTTGATAATTGCCCTGTACTGTTCATTGACTTTGAAGCACCTGGCCCTGGCCACTGTTGGAAATGGGATGCTGGGCTAGATGGACCCTTGGTCTGACCCAGTCGGGCCATTCTTAAAAATACGTTACAGATTGTGAAGCGGTTTGAGGAAAGCACTGTCTGAGAAATAGGTGGTATTTTTATTCCATGCACATCAATTATCTTCAGCAGAACTCAGAACTGGTGCTGTTTCCTGCTCTCTCCCTCTTTGAACAGTTTCCTGTACCCTGCAGGAAGGATCCAAAATGCTCTAGTGAGTCAGCCCGTTCCTGGGCAGTAATGCAGGCTCTCTGGGGCAGAGATCTCGCAGCAGAGAAGTGCAGCTGGCTGCAGACAAGCAGCTTGTGGGAACGTCCCTGTATTCGTCCGATCGTTTCCAAGTAGAAATCTGTTCGACTGCTTTTGTCTTGAAAGTCTCTCTCTGCCTGTAGGACCACATGTCTCACTCCCAGCAGGGCTGATTTTGATCCCGCCCCTGTGTATCTCTTCGGGTTCCTCTGTAAGCACAGTGATCAGATAGGAATGCATTAGCTGACTGTACTGAGTAGCTGTCCCCTGCTCTTACTCTGTTAACCATTAGACAGTGACCCCCACCGAAGGGCTAAAATCCAGGTCGGGGGGAGAGGTGGACCAAAGAGCAGCAGATGCACTTGCCTCTAGAAAGTGGCAAAGGAATTCCAACTGGGCACATTCCACTAAGCCTGCTTTGAACTCTGCCGGCGCATAGCCCAGCGTGGGCCATCTTTGCTCACTGGTACGGGGGGGAGGGGGTGCGGGAGGGGAGTCCCAGACCTATTCCTGCCTCCTTACCGTGTGTTCTTGCCTCCAGGTGCCCCAGTTGCGCCGTGGTGTTCGGAGGGGTGAATTCCATTAAGTCCCACATCCAGACCTCGCACTGCGAGGTTTTCCACAAGTGCCCGATCTGCCCCATGGCGTTCAAGTCGGCCCCGAGCGCCCATGCTCATATCTACACGCAGCACCCGGGGTTCAGCAATCAGCAGTCCAAGTAAGTAACCTCAGCCGGGTACCACCGTGAGCTGGGATCTGGGGAACAGACCCTGGGTCCCACCCGGTCAATAGCTGGAGCGGGGAAACTTCTGAGGAAAACTCTCTGGTGCTCCGGGAGGGAATGGAGGAAAGACCGTTCCTCAATAAGTACAGTAGCTAGTCGCTAGGAGCACACTGCTGTTCAGGCCGCTGCCTGTCAGACGGGAGGGAAAACCAGAGGCCCTGACAACTTGTCATTAAAGAGCCCACGGTGTGTTTTGCAAAACTAGACAGTGCTCAGCCTGATCTGGAGAGCGGCAGCAGCTCTTGAGTTTACAGCACAGGACTCCTGGGTTCTGTTTCTACCCCTAAGATCAGGTCCACACTCAAAAGTTAGGTCAACCCAGCTATGGTGCTCAGGGGTGTGAAAAATCCACATTACTGAGCTACGTAGTTAAGCTGACCTGACCCCAGTGTAGACAGTGCAAGAGCGATGGAAGAATTCTTCTGTCCACCTAGCTACCACCTCTCCGGGATGCAGATTAACTACGAGTCCTCCTGTCGCTGTAGGGAGGATCTACACTGAAGCACTGTGTTAGTGGGTGAAGAAATAAGCCCCCTTACTTCCCTGGTCCTTCTCACATGAACAGAGAGCAACAATACCCAAAGTCCAAAGGTGCAAACAATTCAATGTTTATTGGGGTGAACTTTTAGCAAGCATGATTCCAGTTTCCTTCCTTAGTGTTCCGCCTTCCCAGCTCTGACACCACAGATCTTTACCTGTGTCCCTGTTCCCATTCCCCCGCCTTAGCAAAACATGATTCCAATTTACCCCCCCATTCCCTGTTCCCATTTTCCCCACTCACTTCCTGATTCCTGACTAACATCACCTCTCCTACTATAGCAGACTATATAGTAAAACTTGAGTTCTGCTTAGCTATACCTTAACCAATCCTAACATGATTATTTAACCAATTATATCCCACCACCTTAATTAGTTTACACCCAGCAAAATTAATTATACAGCAGACAGAAACAATCACAGAACCAGACAGACTATACAGACAAACAATAGGGAAATGGGGACTACAGTGATAGAACAACAAAGAAATGAGGATTTCACATCCCAGCTATTGATAAGTGAGTTCTTGCCAGACAGGATGCTATCAAACTAAGTTTCCTTTTACATCTTCTAGGCACTTCCCTTTCTCTGGAGGCGATAGGCATTATCAGGACAGGATTGTATCCTAACAGCCCAATAGCACCTTCTTTCAATGTGACTGGTTTGGGATGTGAGGATGTGACCGGTCGCTTCCCAGCTTATGGCTGCCTCTGCTGCTTAGCCAAAGGCCTTAGCCTAAGAACAGGGCCTCAGACTGTCACAGTAAGAGAAGGCCCTTACACCGGCAGACAGTGATTTTGATTCTTACCTAGTTATTTACACCTCTAGAACTAGCTAAGTGATAAGAATACACCTAAATTAGAGTAGAGGCCTTTACAGACAGGCCTAAAGATCTATATCCTAACACACTGGTGGCGCTGTACTGTTTCCAGTGTAGACAAGCCCCAAGTCACTTGCAGGTGGTCCAAGGCAGCCACTCAACTTTAGCTTTTTTGTGGCTCTGTCTGTAAAATGGGTCTAAATACGTCAGGGCTTGGAGGTTGAGTGGTAACGCGAAGAAAGTGCTTTGAGATCCTTGGATGAAAGGTGCTAGATAAGAACTCTGTTAGAGAGTCTCTCTCCCTACCCAGCACTCTGCTGCCCTCCATCAGAGGAGCTAAAAATAATCTGAAACTTTCCTCAGGGTAGGTCAGTTGGATCTGTGCTTCCCTTTGGAAGCACACAGTGTCCACCATCCTCCAGTGTGCTGCTGAGATTAGGGAAACAACTCAAGAGATTGAATTATCTTTAATGAGCAGCGTGGCCTGGTGGGCAGGATGTTGGCCCAGGACTTGGAGACCCAAATTCTATCCCCACCTCTGCCACTGAGCAGCTGGGCGACCTTGGGCAAGTCACTTCCGCTCTGACTCTGTCTTAGATTGTCAGCCCTTTGGGACAGGCACTGTCTATACAGCACCTAGCATTATGGGGCCCTGATCTCAGCTGGCCCCTGGTATGTAAATAATATTCCTTGGGGGGCTTTCATGTTTGAACCAAATTCAGAGAAACTTACATTGATTGATTATTTCTAACCCGCCTCTCCTCTTCTCTCTCCTCCCTCCCCCCCCAATTTTCAGGATGATTTACAAATGTGCAATGTGTGACACAGTCTTTACCCACAAGCCCCTGCTCTCCTCTCACTTTGACCAACACCTGCTCAACCAGAGGGTCAGCGTTTTTAAGTGTCCTGACTGCCCGCTGCTCTTCGCCCAGAAACGCACCATGCTGGAACATCTGAAGGTGAGTCAGGCACTGGGGCCCCGTTTACTAGAGAGGTAGGTGAGATCTGAGTAGGAACCCCCCGAGCGCTATTCCCTGACACCCTCTGTCCTTGAGCAAGTCACTCCCTCCCTGTGCCTCAGTTTCCCCACATGTAAAGTGGGGATGATCCTAACCATGTTGCGGAGCTGCCACAATGCTGCTGTTCACTGAAGACCCAGCTTTCCACAGGCCTAGCCTGGACGTTCTCCGTCTGGCAGGGCAGTGTGTTGGTGCCCGGATGTGTTCAGCTCTCTTTAGCGGGACGCTACCTGCACTGGGATTGGCCTGTGAACCAGCTCAGGCCTGTATCTGTGTGCTGGTCCCTAGAGGCCTGTGTAACTGGTTTTAGTATTTGTCAGGCTAGCCCTTTCCAGTACGTTCATAGATGATTAGTTCTTTGGGACAAGGACTGCCTCTTCGTTGTCTGTACGTGTCTGTCTAGCACAGGGGTGCCCTGATCAGGGCCACTGAGTGCCGCTGCCATCTCGTGCAGTGCTAGGAACGCTCTCGCTCTCACTGACTTGTCCACCTCTTGCCTTTCCCCATCCCAGAGCGTAGCTGCCGGCTTGTGTGGGGCTAATGGGAGTCTCAGGCTTCCAGATGCAAGCTAATGGCCTTAGAGGGGAAGGGGGAAAACATGTCTGTCCTCTCCAGCATGGCAGAGTTGGGGGAAGACTGGCTTGCCTTCCCCCCGGGATCACTGCATGGCATGGGCTGCTGCCGGAACCCGGATCCGAGCCTTGTCAGGCTGATGCCCCTGTCTGTGTCTTACAGAACACTCACCAGCCACAGAAACCCAAGGAGGATCTCACCAAGAAGCCGGTCGCCCTGCTCACCCCCAAGGAGGAGCCCGTGGAAGCACCAGTCTCCAAGATATCTGAGTCCTCGTCCTCATCCTCGGAGGAAGACGAGCCGCCCAGCTCCCCAGAGCTGCGCAAGGCAAAGCGGACCCGCTTTCAGCGCAAGACGGATGCGAGCAAGTCGAAAAGCAGCGGCTGGACGTGCGGGATGTGTCACTCCTGGTTCCCGGAGAGGGACGAGTATGTGTCACACATGAAGAAGGATCACGGGAAGGTGAGAAGGAATCCCAGGGCGATTGCTGGCCCAATGGGAGGAGAGCTGGTGGAGTTTATCCACTGGGAACCTGGCCCTGTTGGAACACTGAGGTGGTAGGGAAGGCAGTGTTTTGTATATTGTACAGAACAGAGGCCTGCAGATTGGGATTCCTGGGGTCCGTTCCTGGCTGGGGCAGGCTGTGTTGTCTAATGGTTACAGCAGGAGAGTTGGGTCTCCTGGTTCTGTTCCTGACTTGCTGCGTCACCTTGGCAAGCGACCCATTCTCTGTGCCTCAGTTTCCCCACCCAATAAAAGCGCCAGGCAATGGGAGAAGGGGCCATCTCGAGAATGAGTTGACACAATGGCAGGGCATGTGGCATGACCTGTTCTCTTGCTTCTTCCAGTCAGTGAAGAAGTTCCCGTGTCGTCTGTGCGAGCGTTCGTTTTGCTCCGCCCCCAGCCTCCGGAGACACGTGCGAGTGAACCACGAGGGGATCAAGCGAGTCTATCCCTGCCGGTACCGAGCAGCCTCCGTGCCTTCTGGTTTCGAGGGGTGAAAGCGAACTAGCTCACCCCTCCCTTCCATCCGAAGCTCGGGGTGGGAGGTGTTCATGCAGTCCGCAAGACTGTCAGAGCTGGGGGAGGTGGGGAGCTCGGACTCCTGGGGATCTAGTCTCAGCTCCAGAAGGGGTCTGACTGGGGCACTGGGTGGGTCACTCCTGAGTTTCCTGCCCTGCCGTTGGGGAGAGAGTGTGCTGTAGTGGTTAGAACAGGGGACTAGGAGTCGGGACTCCTGGGTTCTAGGCCTGGTTTTGCCACTGCCTTACTGTGTGACCTCTGGGTAGGTAACCTCACCTCTCCAAGCCAGTTTCCCTGGGGGAAGTGGGCTTGACACCCACAGAGCGCTTTGAGATGGAAGCAGTAGACCAGGTCTAGGGGTCGTCTGTTGTTCACCTCCACCTCCAGTGGGCGAGGTGCCGGGGAGCCTCATTCCCTCCCTGGCTCTGGTCCCTCCCAGGTACTGCACCGAAGGCAAACGCACCTTCAGCAGCCGGCTGATCCTGGAGAAGCACATTCAGGTGCGGCACGGGATAAAGGTGACCGACCAGACCAAGAGCCAAGAGGTCGTCATTGCCCGGATGGGACCCGGAAGCTTGCAGGTACAGGGCCGATGGCTGCAAGGATGGACGCTCGCAGCTGTGAGAGAGTGGGGGCGGAGGGGTTAAAATAACTTACAATCAATGCAGCCACTTTTCGGGGGGAACATGGCTGCCATTAGAACAACCCACAGCAACGTAGTGCAATAGGGCAGGGCAGGAAGCAAAGAATCTCGTCTCCAGGGGGGTTTTACAGAGGTAGAAGGTCGCTGGGCGCTAGCGGGACGGCTATGGGACTCTTCCCTCAGCACCGTTCCCGCTAGTGCATGAATCCTGGCCCGGCCCCAGCTGAATTGCCAGCGCTGCTTTGTGCGGCGCCCTGGCTTTTGGCTGGCGGTCTCCTGTCTGACTAGTAGGCTTGAAAGGCCGGCGGCAGCAGGGAAGCCAGGGCGGCTGCGCTTCAGAGTGGAGGCTGTGGCGTGAGTGTATTTAGGCCAAGGAGCGGATGCGGGCGGGGCTGAGTCCGCTGCCAGGGCTGGCTGATCCTGTGTTGGGATTTTCATCCAGCCAGAGATCTTGCGGCTAGAAGGGAGCCAAAGGATCATCTTGTCTGAGCTCCTTGGAACTGCTCCTGTCCCCTGCTGCGCGTGGGGCAGGCCTTTGTCTGGCACAGGCAGTTTAAGCACACAGGGCCCAGGCCCTGCCCAGCGTTAGGGGTCAAGCCTCTCCAAACTCCTCCCCCCAGGTGTCCAGCAGGAAGCGGAAGCTCTCCTCGGACGAGGGCGATTCGTGTAGCGAGGAGCCGGACAGCACCACGCCACCTTCCAAGAACCCCAAGGTGGACCGCAAAGCCCCCTTCCGCTGCCGCAAGTGTGGCTACGTGGCTTGCAGCGCGGCCGAGTTCCAGGAGCACATCCCCCAGCACAGGACAGACGAGAGCTCCCACCAGTGCCGGGAGTGCGGCCTCTGCTTCACCTCCCAGGTCTCTCTCAACCGCCACCGCTTCATCACCCACAAGAAGAAGAAGGGGGCGGGGGAGGTGGAGGAGCCCAGCCCCCGCAGCGGCCACGAGGGAGGGGCCCAGCGCTCGGCCGACGGTAAACTCGTGTGCAAGGTGTGCGGGAAGTGCTTTGACACTCAGCTCAACCTGAAGACACACTTCCGCACCCATGGCATGGCCTTCATCAGAGCCAGGCAGAACGTGAGCCCCGAGAACTAGGTGCGAGGGAGAGGGCAGTGTGTGTATATAATCTCTGCACAGAGCTCGTAGGGCCGGCTCCCAGCTGGGCCTCCCCTCTCTGTGCACCGTTTCAGTACGTAGGTTGGATATGTAAGCTGTGAAGAGAAACGAGATCCTTATTTATAAACCTAGAGGAATGTCGGACGGATCCGCTCTCTGGCTTCTCTCGGTTGCTGGCCCGGCTGAGCCCAACGCGAGGTGGGGAATTGGGCTGGTTTACAGTGTAGGGAAGCAACAGGTCTAGCCTAGCTCCGAGACTACACAGGCAAGCAAACGGTTCGTATGCTGCTCTGAATGATAACAAGGGATGCGGCCTGCTCTGTATGCGAGCATGTGTTCAGATTGTCGAGGGCGGTGGCTTCCCCTCATTGGATCAGGGAAGTTAGTCGTCCCTACCCAGCGTGGTCTGTAGCCCAGGGAGCTGTCTCCCAGCTCAGAGGGCAGGGCTCCGGTGCCAGGATGTCACACCTTTCCTGAGCCCTGTTTCTGCTCTTTCTGGTGGGAGCTTCCCCCGCTTACTGGGAGCATGCCTCTGCCGCATTCGGACTTGTCCGAAGGGAGTCCTTTCTCTCCAGGAGCGCTGATGTGGGGGAAGCCCCCAGCCGCTGCCCAGGATAGGGGACTGGCTGGGATGTTCACAGCAGGATCCAACTTTTGGGGGTTTCTTTTTTTTTTTTTTTTTTAGTAATGTTGCTTATTTTGTATTTTCATCTGGAGCTCCGGGAAGAAATCTTGACCTGACTCTCGGGTAGTTGCCTGGGATCTTAACTGACAGCATCGATCCGAGTTTTCGTGGTTTGTTCACTAACTATATTCACCCACTGAATGCATGTGTCATGAATCCTCTTCACAGGTTCACTTGCACTAACTTAATGCGATTCTGGGTTTTGTACTAACTGAAATATCTGTACAGGGTTGACGGCTGCAAGTGGCCTGAATTTAAAAGGAAACATTTGGCTATTAAGCTGCAGGTGACAAGCAGAGCTGCACAACTCTGTGTGTGTGTGTGTGTGTTTGTGTGTGTGTTTGTGTCTTGAAAATGAAAGCAATAACCTCAGGAAGTGAGGTCTGGCAGGGAAATGGACCGAGAGCCAGAGCAGTGCAGTTAACCCTGCATGTACTATATAAAGGGTGTCTGAGAAGCCAGAAACAGTTTAGTTTGATCCTTGCCTACCTCCCAAGGCCATCCCTCGAAACCACAGAGGGGTGATTCGTCCTGATTAAGTTTTCCCCCACCCCCTTGCTAGCGTTTGTAATGGTCTCTGCTTGTGAGCTCTTCTCTCTTTACCAAAAAATGAACCAAGTTATCAGCAAATACTAAATCTCTTTACAGCTGTGAGGGTCAAAGAACAGTTGATCAAAAACAGAGATTTTGTTGCAGGTGGGGATTTTATTTTGGGGCGGGGAGGGAGAGAATCGGCACCCAAAAGGATGCACCCGGACCCCCCTTCCCCCAGGTCTTATTGGTTGAGAGCTGGGCTTTAATCTTATCGGTGGGATGAGGTGGAACTCCATGGGCCCCTGATCTCTGCTACTGCTTGGAAATGCTGTTTGCCCAGAATCTGGTAACAGAAGAGGGTAGCAACCCCATTTCCTTGCTTGGGGCTGCCAGGAGAACTTGGATCTTGAATCCAAGGGAGTTGAGAGAGTCTGTTCAAAGTACCTCTGACAGGGTTTTCCAACCTACCACGTCCTTAAAGTCCCAGCTGGTTGTAAATAACCAGGGTAACTTAGAGGGTAAGAGAACGTGCTTTGTTAGAAGCAGAAGGGGAAACCAAACCCTCTTTTAAAAAAAAATTATGCAGAATTCAGTTCTTAGATTAACTTAGATGCTTTCATATGCGCACACACAGGCCCGTTGGCTGCAGCGGTGGGCTCTGCCTGTTGTACCGGTACACACTTAAATCATGGCAGCTGGCATTGCAACCTCTGCAGGGCCTCGATCCAAGATCTGCAGGGAAAACCCCACTCCAGGCCATGTCCATTGATCAGAGCAAGCACTGCCCTGAAACTCACCCTTTGGGTTCAGCTTTCATCTCTTCTCTCTCTCCCTCCCCTCCTCCCCCCACACACACTTTGGGTTCTGGGTCCCTCATCTGCCAGTGCAGCACCTACCACCTCACCGATAGCACATTCCTAGACCCCATGACCAAGATCACAGCCAAGGTAAGGGCTCGGACGCATCTTAATAGCAGGTTTGGACTGTCCTTACTGCAGCAGCATCCACGAGAATTTTCAAAATTTGTGCAAATGGCTGCATCCTTAAATCACGTTTGGAAAAACGATTTCAACTTGTTTCGTTTGTTGCTTTGGCTTCTGTGCTTCAATTAGGGTGTTGTGTGAGCAATTATTTCGGTAACTTTGGGGTTTTTTTTTTTCATGGTGAATAACTCTGAAACTGTAAAAAGTTCTGTAACATACACTAAAAAAGAGCTACTGTTGTGATTTATTTTTTCTTGTTTAGGAACAAGGATTTGCTGGTTTTAAGTTCAATGGGATAAACTTTCTTCCCCCTCCGAAGACGGTTTGGTTGAAAGGAACAAATGCGGCGGTGGTTGTTTTTTAATTCATAGTAAACCATTTTTTTTGGATCCAACTGCATGTTTATGCAGCAGCATGTGGGGTTTTTAAAAACCTCAAACCTTTCACTGTATAAACCTGCAATCCAATATTCCCAACGCTTGTTGTTACAACCTGCTTTCCGTCACGGTCAGCAGTGGAGTGGTAACTGTGTGTAAGCCATTAAGTTCCACTGGCAAGAGTAACCAAGCTGAAATGAAGGTAACTACATATTTTAAATTTCCTCCCAGTTTTTTGCTTTGTCTTAACTGTTTCTTCTCCCACCCCCCACCCCGAAAAACCCTACACTTTTTTTAAAAAAAAATGTATTCGCTTGGAGCTGTGAAAGTGTAAATGCTGTTCAATAATATAGACGAACCTAAAGTTTCTACAGTTTTAGAGAAGAAGATAAACAAATTGCTTTGTAATCTTTGGTGATTTTATTTCCCATGCACTTCAGTGCCTTTAGATTGACTTCTGTTTTTAAAAAAAGTGACTGCATTTTGTTTTTAGAGGGGGTTTGTGAACTGATGATTATGCTACATTAAAAATATGGGCACTGCAAAAGGCTCTCAGGTATTCTTTATTCTTGTAGTAATAATGCAATTAAAACTTTTAGTGGTTTAACTTCTGCTGTACATTGTGTTAATTAAATGGTTGCCACAGTTTTAACTAGAGACAGTCATGTTCAGTGGAGTTTGTTTGGGGGCCTGGTTCTGCAGCCGGTTCTAGGTCGAAATGTGGTTATACCCCTGTCTGGTGTGTGTCACATGGCCTGGGTACCAAATGGCTCACGGCCACAGTGGCTTAGTTTGTGTTGTATTAAGGCATAGAGTGGGGGACAGACTTACCTCTTAACATCCCTCCAGGTTCTTATGTAGTGAGTTATCTGATGGCAACACGGTAATCTTGCAAAGACCATATTTGCCTGGCAATAAGGGTTTAAAAATTGCATCTTTTTGTACAGGCTGCAGGATCCCAGTGAGCAGCAGTACAGTAAAAGGAGGGATAAACTTGCCTGCAAGAAAGTAGGTGTGCTTTTTAAGGGCTAGCACAGCAGCTTGCTATGAAGGCCAGCGTTCCCTCTATGCTATTACTGTTGATCTAGTGGAAATTGGATTTGAACGCCTGGTGCATCGCCAGCTGCAGAGCAATTACGCTGACTTTCGTCACCAGGGCAAGGCTCAGCTGAGCTGTTAAAGACTCTAATTGCAGGGTTTTTTTGAAACTTCCCCCTTTAACCCAGGTATGTGGCATTTGCACTGTCTGCATGGCCGAATGTAGTCGATAGATGCGGTCCCAGAGGGCTGGGACAGGTTGTGTATGAAGCTGGATGAAAGGTGGTGCAGGTTCCTTTAGACAGCACTTTATTACCGGGAGGCGGAGGGAGACGTTGTCGGAACATCTACAAGCTGCTGTCTTTGGTTTTTACAGCATAGACAAAACTAGAGGATTTATGCTGTCCGGGACTGAGCTGAGGAAGAGGCTCGTTAAAGTCTCTCTTTCAGACACATAACGGGGTAGGAAACTTGAATGGGCGGCTGGACACTTCAAAGCAAACACTTGGGGAAGAAGCTCCCTGCAGTCTCAGCAAAGAGGAAATGATGAGATGAGAACAATACTGCCTTTTAAAACACACATGGCTGTGGCTGGAGCAGTGTCCATTTCCCCTGACATGGGCTTCAGCATAGGCCCTTTTAGTGTCAGGGACTTGGAGCTCTTCTGTTACTGAACCGGCCAGTTCTGCCATCCACTTGCTGTTGCCTTTGTTTGAAGGGAAAACTCATTCCACTATTTACCTAGGGTTTTAGGAGCATCTGAGTCTTCCAAGGGAATGGAGGGGACACCTCCCTGCTGGGTAAGGTAAAAAACACACCACATCAGCTGAAGTTAACCCGGGAAACCTGCTCTTCGATGAGTTTCCTGTGTCCTCGTGTGCCTGCCAAAATGGCGCACTTGATTACCTGGTAGTTTTTCTTCAGTAGTAACTATTAACGAAGAGGAATTGTAGGGTTTCAAGGAAATCGCTTTAAGGTAGCCAGGCAGCCTGCTGGCCTTGTCCAATAACAGTTGAGAAGGTTTGGCTCTCCAGTTCCAGCATAAAATGGGAGCCAATGAATACCAACAAAGCGAGCAAGCCTCATCGATGTTCATCTATGAGTTAAAAATCTGCAGCTGTTTTTGAAAGCAGCACAGAGGTTAGTGTAGAAAATAAACTATCAATTTATTCTTTTTATACAGTTGAGGAAGGAGATTTTTTTTTTTTTTTACCCTGCACAACAAGACCGAGAAGCTGGTCTTGTCCCGCTGAGTCCAAGCAGTGGGTGCTGGTTCCTGAGAAGAGATGCCCAATGCCTGCCAAGGTGCTCCTCGGTCAGGAGGACAGGCAGGCTTACCTGCCTCCTCCGCTGTGCACCCCAGAGCAGAAGAAAGACAAAACGCTGATGGGAGGGCTAAGACCTCAGAGGAAGAGAGCTCTCAACATGATCCAGTTGTCGTCCTCCCACTCAATTGCTTTAAATTAGTGGCCTCAATCGAGCCCTGCAGCAATGTATAATCCAGGAGCAAGGCTGATTGATGCTGTTCCCCTTTGGGTCCTGCAGACATATCTCTTCCCTCCTAGGTTCCCGGGTCAGAATCGGAGCAATAAAGTTGGCACGGCCATCAGAGCTTTTCCACGTAGTTCCCTGGGAACAACCCTTCTTTCCCCCGTATCCTGCCCTGCCACCAGCCTGAGGGGTCTGAAAAGGAAAAGAAAGCAGGCAGCAGTCACGGCTGGCTGTACAGAGAGTTGTACCAAGAGCTGGTCTCAAAAACATGATGGGGCAGCAGCTGCTGCCATGTTATACCAAGAGCTGGTGCTTGGCGCAGTGCGAAGTACAGATAAAATGCTACCCAGGCAGCCTGGTAGTGATTTACACTCACCACAGTGCTCAGGCTGCAGGTACAGCCTGGGGAGAGATTGCTGATAGTAGGCACCTCTAACCCTGTAGCAAAAGACAGGAGGAGAGCCAGCAGCTGGAAGCAAGCTGCATGTTTTGAACCCTGAGGGATCTAAACACTATGCTCTAGTTCAAACAGGAATTTGGGCCTAGCATGACTTGAGTTGTGTTACCCAGGAGGTCGGCCTAGATTATCATAATGGTCCAGTAGAGCTTTAAGAGCTACACCCAGCACTTAGTGCACAAGGGCAGGGTCCCAGCTGGTCAGGCCCAGATCCTTAGTGGCATCAGCTGTAGGCATCGCAGTACCTCTGATAGGTTTCAGAGTAACAGCCGTGTTAGTCTCTCTTTGCAAAAAGAAAAGGAGGACTTGTGGCACCTTAGAGACTAACCAATTTATTTGAGCGTGAGCTTTCGTGAGCTACAGCTCACTTCATCGGATGCATACCGTGGAATGCATCCGATGAAGTGAGCTGTAGCTCACGAAAGCTCACGCTCAAATAAATTGGTTAGTCTCTAAGGTGCCACAAGTACCTCTGATGTTTTTCAAAGCTGCAGCGTAACGGCCTAGGCCCAGGAGTATCCGCTAGCCACTGCTCAGAGCCCTAACACGCTGGAGCAGGGGAGGCCTCTCTCACAGCAGGGCCTGCACAACAGAGAGCCTGGCAGCTGCTTGGCATGGGGCTGACCTGGCTTAGGCACCAAACGCCAGGAGAAGGCTTGCAGCTGAAATTCCTGGGTGCCCGAGTTGGGGCCTGTCAGACAGCACCAGGCCAGCTGCTTGGGCATGCAAACCCCTCTCTTCAGCACGGCATTGCTGGGGGGCTGGCGTCGGCCCATGCAGCGGTGAGGGTGCGGGGCCGAGGGCTCTAAGCTACATGTGCTCCCAGGACGGGCAAAGTTCTCGCTGGGGTGTGTTTTAACCTTGTTGGGCAGCATCTCTTCGCACTGACAAATTGAGGAGGCCCAGAGCCCTCCTGTGCCTGGGCTGCCCCTTCCGGGAAGGCACGTCCGTTACCCTAACCACTGGGGCTGTAGGTCAAGATCAACGCCCTAAGCCAGGTGGGTGAGACATTGGGATTTGGAGGCCGGAGTCTGGGCTCCAAATCCCCTTTGTGCCAGCCTAGTCACACCCCTCCTCTGCCCTTATTCTAACCACTCACCCACACTCCCTTGGAGGAGTACAGCCCAGTGCTGGAGGAGGGGTGAGCAGGCGGGGGGTGGCTGCTTACCTTCTCTAATGATTTCAATGTATTCGTCAGCGTTGAAGCTGAGCTCGTCTGTGTCCTGGGCATCGTAGGCGTAGAGGGCGCGGCACTGGGGCAGGCGCGGCTGGGGCTTTGGCTTGGGTTTGGGTTTGGCTCGGCCGCCTCCAGGGACAGGCTTGGCTTCTTTCGAGAGCCTCCGCTGCCAGCTAAGTTGAAGGGAGGAAGCGATCAGCCTGCAGGACCCGGGCAGGGTCAGGCCTGGGCTCGTGCTTTAAACCCACAGGTGCTCCGGCAGAGCATTCCTGCAGCAGGGCCCTTAGGAACCAGGGCTTGCGCCGGGGGCAGGATCGGGGACTCCCAGGCAGCCCCAGGCTGAGCACCCCTGCCTAGCACCAGCAAGGGGAAAGGCAGTGCCTCTCCCGTCCCTTCTGGACTGGACTAGCCCAGCCCAGCTCTGTGAGGCTGCCATCTAGCGGGTGCTAGGGGAAGCCAAAAACACAGCTCAGGAAAAGGCCACAGCTGGGCCAGGCAGGGGGCTGCTGAGCTCAGGCACCTGGTTTGACCAGAGGAAAGGGGAGCGGGAGGCATTCGGGGCTGGAGTCTCCCTGTGCCACTGGCTTCCACTGCCAGGCTGGGGCATCTGGGGGGGAGGCTGCTGCTTGTCCGGTGCAGCTGGGGTTAACCCTTAGAGGGCCAGAGCCCCGCGAGGTGACCCCGGCCACTTACCCGGCCGCGCCCTGATCCGGCACATTCATGAAGTCTAGGTTGAGCTGGGCAGGTAAGGCTTTGGCCCTGGGGCTGGCTCCATGTCTGGGCAGGGTTGGCTGCTCCATGCTGCCCTGGCGGGCGACAGAGAGACGGTGCTGGAGAGGGGGCCGGGACCCAGGGCCGCTGCGCCAGCTGGCATCACTCTTCTCTCTGCCTGGAAAGGAAGGGTGCGGGGAAGAATCACTTGGAGCCGAAGGAACCCAGGCATCCTGCATCTGGAACACAGAGGCCAGCCTGGAAGTGTGTGTGTGTGTGTGTATTAACTCTTTCATTTCTGGCACGTCCTGGGGCTTCCTATGCTGAATCTGGACCTCCCAACCTCTATTAACCCTTCCTGTGCCGTACAAGCAGCCATCACTGACCAAGGGGAGGATGTGCCCCCATAGCCTTGAATACATGGCCCTGGGCAAAGTCCAGCTCTTGGGGGTGGCAGTGTGTGTGTGTCTGTAGGCCCCCCTGGAAAGCAGCTGCGCTGGCCCTATGGGCAAGTTGACGGAGGCACCCTGTGGCCATATCTTCTCTTCCCCTCCCCCCCGCCGTGGGGCGATGGGATGCTTTGGACTCATCTGCCCCAGCGATCCCCCCCAGCCCACCCCCATGCTGCAAGAGGAGCCTTGTACCTGCCGCAGGGGGGTAGTTCCGGCCGGGGATGCTGCTGCTGTTCGGGTACCTGCTCTTCCTGGTGTCCCTCCGCGTGGGTCCTGCAGTGGGAACGACTGTGATTAGCCCTCCCTTGTGCTGGCCTCCCTCAGCTCCCTCCCTACAGGGCAGGGCTGTCCCCTGCAGCATCTTGCCCAGAGCTCTGTCTGATCGAGATCAAGTCCCATCCACAACGGGACTCTGCCTCCGGGCAGGTTTCCCCAGGGCCGAAGGAGAAAGCCAGCAGCTAGGGCTTGCTCCTTGCAGCCTGTTCCCCGCTGCCCGCAGACACTCACGGGCGTTCCTGGGCAGCCCGGGCCCGATGCTGACGATCAGCACCTTCCCATTGTTCCGACGCAGCGCCACATTGCCCTGGCAAATCTGGAACTGGACCTGGCGGGAGCCCGCTGCCCCCCAGGGGCCCCAGCCGTCCTTCTTGACCTTGAACTCCAGCCTGGGGGAGGAGGGAGAGAGAAATCAGCTGAGAAATCGGAGGTTGAGATAAGCAAGAGGGAAAGCACTGGGCTCAGCACGACACCACAGGGGCCTGAGCACGGGGAGGGGGACAGGGAGCCAGGCACCGGCTCGAGGAAGTTTTGTGGCTTTGGATCCAGGCAGCCCCTGGTACTGGTACCAAGCAACCAGCAGCATATCACAAAGGTGAGTTGGAAGATCATGTGAGACCCAGTCCCCATCTCGAACCAGGGGCCTGCACTCAACCCAGGGGCAGGAATAGAACCCAGGAATCCTGACTCCAACCCCCTGCTTTAACCCATGACACCACACTCCCCTGCCAGAGCTGGCAATAGAACCCAGGAGTCCTGACACGCCCCGACTATCTTCCCTCCTTTAATTAGACCCCATTTTTAGATTGTAAGCTTCTTGGGACAGAAGCTGTCTCTTTGCTCTGTTTGTACAGTGCCTAGCGCCATGGGGTCATGGTCCATGGCTAGGGCTGCAAGGGGCTATGGTCCATAGGAATAGTTCCCTTCCTAGGGCTGAGAATGGAACCCAGGAGTCCGGGTTCTCCCAGCCCCCCCTCGCAACCTGCTAGTAACCAAACACCGCTGCCTGGGCCAGCTCTGCCCAGCGGGGCCCCCTGCTGGCAGCAGCGTGGACTCACTGGTTGCTGAACTTCACGGTCAGCTGCCGGCGGGTCCTCTCCTCGTAGCGCTTACAGAGCAGGCTCAGCAGCTCCGTCTTGAAGACGGACTCCAGGACGCTGTCGTACTGCGGCCCGTGGACGATGAGGAAGTCATCCTGCAAGGTGCTGCCGGGGTTGGGGGAAACAGAGGCTGTGTCAGACGCGAGACCAGGGGTGCCCCCACCAGGCTCTCTCCGAGGCCGGGGCCAGCTGCGGGCGGTGCCCAGGGACAGCTCAGGGCACCGGCCCCGCCCGGGGCAGGGGAGATGCATGAAGCAGAGCAGACTCCAGCCCCCGCTGCACCCGGAGAGGGCCGGGCTGAACCAGCCCCCGGGGGCACCGGGCCTGCCAGGCCGGCCGACGGGCTCCTACCTCAGCGACACTGACTGGATCTTCTCCAGCTCCACCTGCCGCTTTAGCACCTCCTTGATCGTCCCCTTCTCGGGGCCCTGCTTTACCTTCTCCCGCCCGATGAGGTAGAGGAACCGGGGCGTCAGGATCAGGTCGCGCTTCACCGTCTGCGTGGGGGGAGAGGGGCTGAGCGGGGGGGGGGCCACTGGAGGGAGGCAGGCGCAATGGGGGGGAGCCAAGCGGGGGCATGGGGAGGTGGGGCAGGGAACGTGTGGGGGGCTGAGGGGGAGGTGGGGCAAGCCCAGCAGAGCCTGGGGGGCATGAGGGAGTGGGGAGGCAGCACCCATTGGCTCGTGGCCTGGCGTAGGATGGAGACAAGCGCGTGCGGCTGGGGGGGGCAGGGCTGAGAGGAAATGGGGGAGCAGAGCTCGGCCCACAGGCAGGAAGAGGGAGGCTGGAGGTAGCCGAGCCTGGCCCTGGGGAAGCAGAGACCGGTCCTGCCGTGGGCAGCAGAGAGGGCAGCCGGGGGGCCCCGCGCTCACCTTGAAGCGCCGGTCGTACTTGGTGACGGTGTCGGCGAAGTCCACGCGCTCACGCCGGCCCACGAAGCGCCGCAGCTCGGGCCGGTTCTCCAGCCCGATGTAGTCGCCCACGAAGTTGCGGTTGAGGCTGTTGGGCCGGCGCTCCTTCTTGTTCAGCAGGAGGTTGGAGGCTTTGGGAGGGGGAGACGCGGGGGGGGGACGGGACTCGGAGTCAGACCTCGTTAAACCTTGACGAGCGGGGGAGGGGTGAGCGTAGCCCCTTCCCTCCGCCCCGACTCTGACTCAGGCCTCGTCCGCACGGGGCCGGATTCTGGAGCGAGGTGGGGCCTGGATTCCAAGTGCCGGACTCCGGTCCCAGACGGGACCACGGTGACCAGCCAGTCCGACCACCGGCCAGAGCCCTGCCCTCGGCTAACTCCCAGAGCAGAGCTCAGAGAGCAACGGCCAATCTGGATTGAAAACCTGTCGGCGACACCGAATCCCCCAGCCCCTGGGGAAACTGATCCCAGGGTTCATTCCTCTCACGGCTAAAAACCCACGCTCGCTTCAGCTTCCAGCCCCTGGAGCGTGTTCGACCTTTCTCTGCTAGATTGAAGAGCCCGTTATTAAAGACAGGTAGGTAATTAGTGACTGGGATCCAGTCACCCCTTATCCCTCTCTGTTAAGCTAAATCGATTGAGCTGCTGGAGTCTCTCACTCTAATCCCTGAATCCTCCTCGTGGCTCTTCTCTGGCCCCTCCCCAATTTACTAACCTCCTTCTCGAGGGGTGGGCACCAGAATTGGACTCTGACCTGGAGTCCTGCCCGGTCCAGCGGGGTGGGGGGGGAACGGACGGACGGACTAATTTTGTTCCACAATCACTGATCTAGACAGCAATAGTGTGTTGGGGGGGGCAGTTTTCCTAGGATGGACAAGCCCTTCTGACTTTGTCCCATGCATGGGCCCTCTCAGTACACCCGGCAACCGTTCGCCTGGAGCCCGTCCCTTACCAACAGGAGCCGCCTCTACCCCAGCCTGAGAGCACGGGGGTCATGCCGGCTTCCCCAGGCCGGTGTATGTGTGCGTGCACCCCCAGGGACAGCGATCAATGGAGGGGATGGCTGCATCGCTCAGTGGGGAAACCTCAGGCTCGCTGCCACCCGCAGGAGCAGAAAGAAGGAGGGACGGGCTTATGGGGACGACCCTGGGCAGGGCACTGCAGCTCCGGGCCTCAGTTTCCCCAACCGGAAAGTGAGGGCAATGCTCCGTCCTTTCTCCCAGCCTGGGTCTTTTCAGTGCGTGAGGGCCAAGCTGCAGGAACTGGCTCCTGCCCTGTGTCCGTGCAGCGCCAGGCCCATTGGGACCCTGCTCTCCATTCAGGCCTCTAGGCACTACTGTCATACACCTGATATCTACGCAACAGCTGGAGGTGGCCGGGCCGGATTCTGCTTTCCCCAGGGCTGGGCAATCGGGGGGGGGGGGGGCGGTGCGGGACCCACCTTCCTCCCTCATGCGGATGTACTTGCGCACGGCCACGTGCTTGCGCCAGGCCTTCTGGATGACCCGGGCGTATCCGTCGTAACGCCGCTCCCGCATCTCCTCCAGCAGGAACAGCTGTGGGGGCAGGGAGCACCAGCTTAGGGGGGCTACCAGGGGATCCCCCCCCCCTTCCGCCGTGCACGCCAGACCCAGCCTCCCTAATCCCCAGCTGGGAGCCAGCCCCCTGCTCTGCAGAGTGACAATCCCACTCACCAACTTCAGGGCCCGTCCCCTCCGCAACTCCAGGGAGTGCCCCCATAGGCCTCTCCCCTCCCCCCGCTCACCAGCTTCAGGGACTCTCCGTCCCCAGGAGGTCAGCCCCCCTCACCAGCTCCAGGGACTGGGCCCCCCCATTGGTCCCTCCACTCACCAACCCTGGGGACTCCCCCGCTGCCCACTCAGGGGGTCAGCCCCCCTCCCCCTCTCACCAGCTCCAGGGACTGCCCCCCCCGACTCACCGACTCTGGGGCCTTGATGAAGACCTTGCTCTGGCCCAGCTGGTACTGGTCTGGGTCCATGTTGACGGCACGTAGCAGGTGCACCACGCCCTGCTTCTCGTCCCCCCGCCAGGCCGGCCATGTCTCGGGGGTGAGGATGGCATACCTGGGGGGGAGAAGGGGGTTGTCCTAGGGGCTCAGTAAGCGAGCGGGCTGGAGGGGCTGCGGAGGGATGTCTCCCAGAGGCAGCAGCTGGCATTCTGCCCTCCAGGGGCAGCCCCCGGGGACCCAGCGAGATGGGGTGTGATGCAGGGAAACCCTGGCCTTGCCCCCGGCTTGTTTCCTGGACCAGAGCCTCCCTGCTGAGCCCACGCAGCACCACAGAGACCACCAGAGCAGCCACCAGCCTCGTGGGCTGGCCCCCGGCGCTGGGATCAAACCGAGCCCACCGTACAAGCCTCTGCGCTGAGGGGCCCCAGACTCAGCCGCCGCTGACACAGAGCAGCCACAGGGGGCAGAGGTGACCCAGGGCCACTAAAGCAGCCACGGGCGGGGGGACCCCTGCAGCAGCATGGGCTCATACTTGCGTCCCTCCCGGGTCCCTGCTAGGGGGGACCCCGGCTCCTCTGCCCGGCGCCCCTTTCCCTAGCGCCTGCGGCAACGGACGGAGGCTTGTGCCCTGTCTCCTCCCCTGCCCAGGGGAGGGCGGCTCCTACCTCTGCAGGAATTTCTGGAAGACCCGCCGGTAGGCATAGCCGGCCCGGCGCACCCGGATGTTCTCCCGCAGGCCCAGGTATTCCACCTGGTGCTTCACCCTGGAGGAAGCCAGAGAGGGAGACAGGTAGGTCTGAGCAAGGAAGGGGTAACGAGACACCCCGCTCCCCGACCCGTCTCCTCCTGGCTGGGCAGCAGACCCCGTCCATGTAGGGAGATGGGGGTCCAGCCACCCCCTGAGCCGGGGGCTGGAGGCACTCGGAGAGGCCGCCCGGCCCTACAGAGCAGGGAACAGTCTGGAAAGGAATGAAGGGGAAACGCCCCAGGGGCTGAGGGTGGAACAGCCGAAGCCTGGGAGTGAGGGGATTGGGGGGCAGAGGGCAGGGACAACAGCTGCCCAAGGGAGAAGGGCGGAGCAGCCCGGCCCCCGGCCCTGGTCCCCACCTGCTCTCCTCCCAGTCGCGGGGTCTCTTGGTCTCGTTGGGTTTGATGCAGCGGATGTAGTGGGGGGTACACTTCGTCAGGGTGCTCACCAGGTCATTCGCTTGTTTCTTCAAAGGAACAAATCAACTTAAGCCCCAAAAGATAGAGGTTCTCTATGGTAACTGGACCCCCCCCCACTCCCCACCTTCATCCACCCCCCACCTGCCTTCATCCTTTAAATGGGGTCACAGCTAATACGGCTGCCAAGTTAGGCACTCAGATACCAGGGTGATGGGCGGTCGGAGTACCCCTATGATGACAGACATCCCACTGCTACGAAAATAAAGCTCAGATCTGCTGTCCAATCTCTCAAACCCCACCCCCTTACTAAACGGCCCAGCCAGGGATCGCTGAAACGCAGCTGGCTCTGGGGTGGGGCGCAGCCACAGTCTGGCAGCGCTAGGCATCCTGTGTCCAATGAAAACTGCGGAGGGGTTGTGGGGGACAGTGGGAGATAAGACAGCTGAGCATCATTAGCCAAAAACCAGCCGAACGGTGGGGGGGGAATCTGCCGAGTGGAGCTGGACCAGAGCAGATTCACCAGCACCTGCCCCAGCCCCTCCAGAACAGGAGCCAGAATAATCCCCCGATGGCTCCAAGCAGCGATAGGGAGGCCTGGAGATGAAGCAGTGAGATTTCCACGAAGGAAAGGGACGGGGCTTCCCCCCCCAACCTCATCGGGTACCTTGATCTTGCTCCCGGCTGTGGTGGGGCGCCCTTTCTTCTCTGCGTTTATGTTCTCAGGAAAGAGGTCTTGGATGAAGGGGCTAAGGTGGGCAGAGAGGGAAATTAAGTCAGTGCCCTGTGGGGTGGGGAGGTTTAGGGAGGGACTGGGATATGGAGACTTTTGCCCTCTCCGTCACCAGCTGGAGGCCAGCACAGGAGCAACCCAGCATGGGACGAGTTTGTTGGGCCCCAGCTCAGCTCCAAGGGGATAATCGTCCACAGCACAAAACCCACTATGCTGTTCAGCCATCTCCACAGCAGCCTAGGCAGAGGGGCCAGGGACTCCCCCCACACACACACACCAAGGACCACCTCCAGGGCAGGGTTATTGTAATGGATACATAACCCAAAGCAATGAAAACGTTTAGCTCGTATCAGTGCCACGTCCTAAAGCAGCAGAGCCAGGGATAGAACCCAGGCGTCCTGGCTCCCAACCCTCCGCACTCGAACCACTTGCCCCCACTGCCCTCCCAGAGCTGGGAACAGAACCCAGGAGTCCGGACTCCCAGGCCCCCCTTGCTCTAACCACTGCCCTGCACTGCCCTCCCGACCCGGGGAAGTGGCACTCACAGCTCACTGCTCTGCATCAGCTCGATGAGGTCGGTGAAGAGCACGTCGCGGTTTCGCTCACAGAATCCCTCCACATCGTAGGAGACCTGCGGGCCGGCGAGCCGGGGTCTCAGGAAGCGGCCCAGGGAACAGCCTGGAGCCGGCGTGCTGGGGGGGCTCCCTCACACAGCCTCCCCATCACAGAGCCCATGTCCACCATCCCCCCCAGAGGGGCCCAGCCTGGAGTCAGGCCAGCCTCGGCCAGGGAGCGCCAAACTGGGCCAGGGGGACAGGACACGCCAAAGGCCTAGAATACGCAGCTACTGGGGCGAAGCACCAGGTCCTCACCCCCCCTCCAATCCCACTCCCCAACTATGACAGCCCCCCTGCAACCCTGACCCCCTTTACCCTCCAACCCAGCCTCCCCTTCCACCCTAATCCACCCGCCCAGCCTCCCCCAGCACCCCCATATACCTCTCCACCTTAATTTACCCTACCAGCACCCCCACATCCCCCTCCCTGACCCCCCTATTCTACCCTGTCCCCAGCACCCCCTCCCTCTCCTTTTCCCCTCTACCCTAATGTATCCCTCCCCCACCCCACCCCATCGCCCTCCCCAGGACCCCCCCCGCGCTGACCTTGCCGGCGTAGTGGTGGATGATGAAGCCCTTGTTCCAGCTGTTGAAGTGCTGGTGGGTGCCCACGGCCATCTGCAGCTTCTGCAGCAGGCTCTGGTCGGCGCCCTCGCCCTTGGCGTGCATGGTGGCACACACATCGTCCAGGATGCTCATGAGCCCCGGAGGGTTCTGGGGGGGGGGTTGGGGGGGACGACACCAGATCGCTGAGCCAGGAGGGGAGCGCCGCTTCCCAGCCCCTCCCGCTCCCAACGCAGGGCTACAGGAGAGCCAGCATCTCCTCCCGAGCAGCTCTGGCGCTGCAATGAGGCAGGGTTTGGGGCTCGGTGCGGGGTCCCCCACAGCACTGAACAGACCCCGATTAAGGGAGAGGAACTGGGGGTACCCTTGGCTCCGGAGAGATCCCAATTAAGGGGCAGCTGGAGGGGGTCCCCCACATTGCTGGGAGCCCCTGATTAAGAAGGGGACTAGGAGAGGTCACCAGGGAGACCCCAGGTCACAGGGGAGACCCTGATTAAAGGGGGATCTGGGGGGGCAGAGCCCCCCACGAAGCTCAGATGGCTGCAGGGGCAGGGGCAGTTATGGGGATCCAGGTTCCGCGGGGATCAGAGACTCAAGTCGGCAGGGGTCCCAGGCTTGGGGGAGGGGGTCACACAGGTTGTCTTCCCCCCCAGGCCGGAGGTGTTTGGAAGGGGGGAGCCCGGCCGCTCGCTCACCACTTTGCTCTCGATCAGGTCACAGACGATTTTGTTGTTGAAATAATCGATGGGGTTCCAGCGAATCCCTTCCTGGATGTACTCCTCCTGGCGGGCAGGGACGGGAGGGAGACTGTTGTGAGGAGGGGCTGGGATCGAGGCAGCCCCAGATCTTGTGTGGGAGCAGGGGTTGGGCTCTGCCCGTGTCCGAACTCCGGGGGGGGACGACCCCCAGCTGCAGGTCAGCCACAGGTGGTGGTAGTTGTGGGGGCCGGCCACCACAGGCAGACACGAGCGCTTAGACTGCACAGCCCACAGAGGTTCCAACTCGGGCGGGGGCTGCGCCGTGCCACCGAAGGGCCCAGTAGGCAACAGGCAGGAAGGGAAACTGAGGCACAAAGAGGGGAAGGATCTTGCCCAGGGTCAATGGCAGAGCTGGGAACAGCACCCAGGGCCTTGGGCCCCAGCCCAGTGCCTCGTCCACTGGGCCACGCTGCCTCGCAACCCCATTGGCTGAGCTCCTCCACCCACCCCACATCAGCTCCTCCCTCTGCCCCTCATCTGTCCCCTCCCCCACCCCACCCCCTGCTCCTCCCCCACCCCATCCCCCCCCTTATCCAACCCCTGACTCTCATCTGCCCCCACCCCCACCCCACTACCTGTTCCTCCCCCTGCCCCCTCCCTTTACCCTCCTCACCCCCTGCCCCTCACCTGCTCTGCCTTGAGCGTGAGCTCGATGAAAATCTGTTGCAGCTTCTCATTCACAAAGTTGATGCAGAATTGCTCAAAGCCGTTTTTCTGCGCGGGGGCAAGGGGGGGAGAGAGACAGACCCATCAGGCACCCGGGGTCCCCGCTGGGCAGGGCCGTGCTGGCATGGAGGGGCAGAGCGTCACCAAAGGGGGCTCTGGCTCGCTCAGAGCAGCGGAAGGGAGTGTCAGAGAGAGCTGAGACAGGCCGAGGGCCTGGAGCAGCCACGGGGCATCCTTGGCATCCAGCTCACGTGCCGTTTGTCGCCGGCCCCCAGCCCCCGAGGGAGAAGGGGTTTGCAAATGGCTGGTGGAGCGGGGATCCCAAAGTGTTTCTCCTCTTCTGCTGGCCCTAGCCCCCTAATGCTGGGGAGCCAGGAGGGGACCTAGGAACCCGAAAGCCCAGGAAGGTCTCTCTCGCGCCCCTGCCCCGCGGTACCTGGAAGATCTCGAAGCCGTATATGTCCAGCACCCCAACGTTATACTCCTCGTAGTCCTTCTGCATTGCTTTGTTGACAGCCTGGGGGCAGAGCAGAGAAAGGCGGGGGTGGGAATTCAGGGTCTTGCCTGGAAAATTAGAGGCCAAAACTCCAGCCCCCCGTGTGTGGTGGGGTGACAGAGACCTGGAAGGGTCACTGGTTGTGGGGATGAAGTGGGGTTAAGGGTGATCAGATACCAGGCCACCAGAGAGAGAGCAGGTGGGGCCTGGCAGCTGAGCTGGGCTGCTCAACACCGGGTCTAGAGGGTTCGAGGCGCCCCCCTGCTCCCGGCTGAAGGGAGCTGGGGGGCCAGGGCTGGGGCCCCCGGGGCGGGTGACTCACGTCCACCAGGTAGTCAAAGAGCCGGGAGTAGAGCGCCTTGGCGAGGGCGTCCCGGGTGAAGCTGGCCTGCTCGGCGTTGAGCGTCACGTCGATCACCTCCGACTTGCCGCCCCACCGGCTGTCCATCTTGCGGCTGGTCAGCTTCTCCTTGAGCCGGCCCTGGTCGACGCCCAGGAGGTAGGAGGGGAAAGCCAGGACTGGGGAGGGTGAGGATAAGGGGGGAGGGTATCAGGGGCAACACCCCAACCCCGTCTGCCTCTCAGCATGGCTCCCCTGCTTTCTCCCCAACCCCGGCTGCTGGATTTGCCTCCCCTCACTCCGCCTGCCTTCAAGGTGGGTGGGGTATCGGCCTCCTCGGCGCCCGCACATCCAGAGGGGCCGGTGGAGCCGTATCCCCATGGGACCCTCCTCCCCAGAGGGAGAGGATGGGAGCGGGGAAGGAAACAGGAGAAGGTGGGGCCCCCCAAAGGATGGAGGCAGATCCATGGGGCACATAAGCCAGGCCCCACCCCAGCATCAGGTGCCTGACCGACCCCCCCACTCCAGATCCACTCTGAGCCAGATCCTGACAGGGACGCCCCAACCCCAAGCCAGGCCCCGAAGGGGGCTCCCCCCAGGCCCCGAGCCAGGCTGTGACACCCCACCAGACGCCAACGCAGGCCCTGATGGGGACCCCCCTACACCCATCCCTGAGCCAGGCCTGACGGACCCCCCCACTCCAGATCCACTCTGAGCCAGATCCCAATAGCGACCCCCATCCCAGTGCCCCCTGCCCACTCACAGTCCTCGCTCTCCACGGCAGCGTAGTTGCCCTCCTCCCGGAAGCTGATGTTGCCCAGGTGAAGGATCCCGGCCACGATCTGCAGCACCAGGGCCTGCTCCTCCCTGGAGAGCCCCACCACCTCCATGGCCGTCTGGGGACCAGGAGCAGGGGGAGGTGTCAGGCTGGGAATGGGGGCCGGGCGCGGCGGGGGGATGGGAGCTCAGGGGCCCAGGATGGGGGTTGGGGGATGGGGAACAGCTGGGGTTTGGGGCTCTATGGTGGCAGAAGTGGGGGGCAGCAAGATGTGGGTTAGGGGATGAGGCACTGAGATGGAGGGGCACCAGGAAGAGGTTGGGGGCACTGTGATGGGGGTGGCGGGGGGGGAGCAGGAAGTGGGTTGGGGGATGGGGGCGCTGAGATGGAGGAGCACCAGGAAGAGGTTGGGGGCACTGTGATGGGGGTAGCAGGGGGGAGAGGAAGTGGGTTGGGGGATGGGGGACTAGGATGGAGGGGCACCAGGAAGAGGTTGGGGGACTGTGATGGGGGTGGGGGGGGGAGCAGGAAGTGGGTTGGGGGATGGGGGCACTAGGATGGAGGGGCACCAGGAAGAGGTTGGGGGCACTGTGATTGGGGTGTTGGGGGGAGCAGGAAGTGGGTTGGGGGATGGGGGCACTAGGATGGAGGAGCACCAGGAAGAGGTTGGGGGCACTGTGATGGGGGTGTTGGGGGGGGAGCAGGAAGTGGGTTGGGGGATGGGGGCGCTGAGATGGAGGAGCACCAGGAAGAGGTTGGGGGCACTGTGATGGGGGTAGCAGGGGGGGGAGCAGGAAGTGGGTTGGGGGATGGGGGCACTAGGATGGAGGGGCACCAGGAAGAGGTTGGGGGCACTGTGATGGGGGTGGCGGGGGGGGAGCAGGAAGTGGGTTGGGGGATGGGGGCGCTGAGATGGAGGGGCACCAGGAAGACGTTGGGGGCACTGTGATGGGGGGTGTTGGGGGGGAGCAGGAAGTGGGTTGGGGGATGGGGGTACTGAGATGGAGGGGCACCAGGAAGAGGTTGGGGGCACTGTGATGGGGGTGGCGGGGGGGGAGCAGGAAGTGGGTTGGGGGATGGGGGGTACTGAGATGGAGGGGCACCAGGAAGAGGTTGGGGGCACTGTGATGGGGGGTGTTGGGGGGGGAGCAGGAAGTGGGTTGGGGGATGGGGGGTACTGAGATGGAGGGGCACCAGGAAGAGGTTGGGGGCACTGTGATGGGGGTGGCGGGGGGGAGCAGGAAGTGGGTTGGGGGATGGGGGCGCTGAGATGGAGGGGCACCAGGAAGAGGTTGGGGGCACTGTGATGGGGGTAGCAGGGGGGGAGCAGGAAGTGGGTTGGGGGATGGGGGCACTAGGATGGAGGGGCACCAGGAAGAGGTTGGGGGCACTGTGATGGGGGTGGCGGGGGGGGAGCAGGAAGTGGGTTGGGGGATGGGGGCGCTGAGATGGAGGGGCACCAGGAAGAGGTTGGGGCACTGTGATTGGGGTGTTGGGGGGAGCAGGAAGTGGGTTGGGGGATGGGGGCACTAGGATGGAGGGGCACCAGGAAGAGGTTGGGGGCACTGTGATTGGGGTGTTGGGGGGGAGCAGGAAGTGGGTTGGGGGATGGGGGCACTAGGATGGAGGAGCACCAGGAAGAGGTTGGGGGCACTGTGATGGGGGTGTTGGGGGGAGCAGGAAGTGGGTTGGGGGATGGGGGCGCTGAGATGGAGGAGCACCAGGAAGAGGTTGGGGGCACTGTGATGGGGGTAGCAGGGGGGAGCAGGAAGTGGGTTGGGGGATGGGGGCACTAGGATGGAGGGGCACCAGGAAGAGGTTGGGGGCACTGTGATGGGGGTGGCGGGGGGGAGCAGGAAGTGGGTTGGGGGATGGGGGCGCTGAGATGGAGGGGCACCAGGAAGACGTTGGGGGCACTGTGATGGGGGTGTTGGGGGGAGCAGGAAGTGGGTTGGGGGATGGGGGGTACTGAGATGGAGGGGCACCAGGAAGAGGTTGGGGGCACTGTGATGGGGGGTGGCGGGGGGGAGCAGGAAGTGGGTTGGGGGATGGGGGTACTGAGATGGAGGGGCACCAGGAAGAGGTTGGGGGCACTGTGATGGGGGTGTTGGGGGGAGCAGGAAGTGGGTTGGGGGATGGGGGTACTGAGATGGAGGGGCACCAGGAAGAGGTTGGGGGCACTGTGATGGGGGTGGCGGGGGGAGCAGGAAGTGGGTTGGGGGATGGGGGCGCTGAGATGGAGGGGCACCAGGAAGAGGTTGGGGGCACTGTGATGGGGGTAGCAGGGGGGAGCAGGAAGTGGGTTGGGGGATGGGGGCACTAGGATGGAGGGGCACCAGGAAGAGGTTGGGGGCACTGTGATGGGGGTGGCGGGGGGGAGCAGGAAGTGGGTTGGGGGATGGGGGCGCTGAGATGGAGGGGCACCAGGAAGAGGTTGGGGCACTGTGATTGGGGTGTTGGGGGGGAGCAGGAAGTGGGTTGGGGGATGGGGGCACTAGGATGGAGGAGCACCAGGAAGAGGTTGGGGGCACTGTGATTGGGGTGTTGGGGGGAGCAGGAAGTGGGTTGGGGGATGGGGGCACTAGGATGGAGGGGCACCAGGAAGAGGTTGGGGGCACTGTGATGGGGGTGTTGGAGGGGAGCAGGAAGTGGGTTGGGGGATGGGGGTACTGAGATGGATGGGCACCAGGAAGAGGTTGGGGGCACTGTGATGGGGGTGGCGGGGGGGAGCAGGAAGTGGGTTGGGGGATGGGGGCACTAGGATGGAGGGGCACCAGGAAGAGGTTGGGGGCACTGTGATTGGGGTGTTGGGGGGAGCAGGAAGTGGGTTGGGGGATGGGGGTACTGAGATGGAGGGGCACCAGGAAGAGGTTGGGGGCACTGTGATGGGGGTGGCGGGGGGGAGCAGGAAGTGGGTTGGGGGATGGGGGTACTGAGATGGAGGGGCACCAGAAAGAGGTTGGGGGCACTGTGATGGGGGTGTTGGGGGGGAGCAGGAAGTGGGTTGGGGGATGGGGGTACTGAGATGGAGGGGCACCAGGAAGAGGTTGGGGGCACTGTGATGGGGGGTGGCGGGGGGGAGCAGGAAGTGGGTTGGGGGATGGGGGCGCTGAGATGGAGGGGCACCAGGAAGAGGTTGGGGGCACTGTGATGGGGGTGTTGGGGGGGAGCAGGAAGTGGGTTGGGGGATGGGGGCGCTGAGATGGAGGGGCACCAGGAAGAGGTTGGGGGCACTGTGATGGGGGTGTTGGGGGGGAGCAGGAAGTGGGTTGGGGGATGGGGGCGCTGAGATGGAGGGGCACCAGGAAGAGGTTGGGGGCACTGTGATGGGCGTGGGGCAGCAGGAAGTGGGTTGGGGGATGGGGGCAGCAGGATGGGGGGGGGGGCTGGGGACACCATGGGGGGACGTGAGCTCCTTGCACCGTTCTGGCTGTGTAAGCCCCCGCTCGCCCCGTACCAGTGTCTCGTGGAACTCCTGCCGGTCGTTCATGCCATCCACCTTGTAGCTCGCCGACTGGTTGAGGTAGTAATAATAATCCGGGTTGGTGATACCCAGGTTCTCCCGCTGCTCCGGGGAGGCTCCCTCCAGCAGCTGGGCAGGGAGAGAGGACAGAGGCCGGAGGGGTCATGTGTTGGTTGGCGGGGGGGGGGGTGGCCGCGCAGCACAGACCCTGCCCCCCCACGCACCTGGTAGTAGACGTGGAAGCTCCTCTCGCCGGGGTTCTGGCTCACTACCCGCGACTTCTCCAGCAGGAAGTTGGAGATCTTGCCCCCGTCGGGCTCCCCGCCACGGCTGAACTGGATCTCGAAGTACTTGCCCTGGGGCGGGAGGGGAGGCCAGGTGAGCCAGACCCCCTGGCTAGGTCCCCACAGCAGAGACACCACCCCCAGAGCACCCCCCACCCGGGACGTGCTCAAGACCCCGGAGCCTAATGACAGCAATGCCCCATGCGGCAAAGAGTTCATCTGGCCTCCTCCCTCGCTGAGCAGGATCCGGTGGTCAAGCCAACTCCTGGGAGCCAGGACTCCTGGGTTCTGTCCCCAGCTCTGGGAGGGGAGTGGGGGCTAGTGGGTTGGGGGAGGCTGGGAGCCAGGACTCCTGGGTTCTGTTCCAGAAGAGGAGTGGGGGCCAGTGGTTTAGAGTGAAAAGAAAAGGAGTACTTGTAGCACCTTAGAGACTAACCAATTTATTTGAGCATGAGCTTTCGTGAGCTACAGCTCACTTCATCAGATGCATACCGTGGAAACTGCAGCAGACTTTATATACACACAGAGATACAAGTACTCCTTTTCTTTTTGCGAATACAGACTAACACGGCTGTTACTCTGAAACCTGGTTTAGAGTGGGGGGTCTGGGAGTCAGGACTCCTGGGTTCTGTTCCCAGCTCTGGGAGGGCAGTGGGAGCTAGTGGGTTGGGGGAGGCTGGGAGTCAGGACTCCTGGGTTCTGTTCCAGAAGAGGAGTGGGGGCCAGTGGTTTAGAGTGGGGGGTCTGGGAGCCAGGATTCCTGGGTTCTGTTCCCAGCTCTGGGAGGGGAGTGGGGTCTAGCGGCTTTTGCAGGAGGAAACTGGGAGCTCGCTGGGCTCCACTCCCAGCTGTGCCACGGACGCATTGCAACAGGTCCCTTTCCCTCTCTGTGCCTCAGTTCCCCCATCATAAAGTGCAGCTAATGGCACTAAGCTGCAGGAGGGGTTGCGAGGCTGCGCGGGTTAGTGGCTGTGAAGCGCTCAGCGATGGCCGGCTGCAGGGGGCAGGCTGTCTGCCAGGCCCCGGCAGGCGCTGCCGAACGCCCCAGTCAGGAGGGACTGGCGAGGCCCAGGCACTCACGAAGCGGCTGGAGTTGTGGTTGCGTACGGTCTTGGCGTTTCCAAAGGCCTCCAGGAGCGGGTTGGATTTCAGGATGATGTCCTTGACGTGCTGGGGGGGAAGCAGAGCGCTCGGTAGATGAGGCCGTCGGCTCCGGCCCTCCGGGAACCCCCAGCCCAACGGCTCCCAGCCAGCCCAGGCTCCCGGATCCCCACTGCTCCCCCCCGCCCTGTCACGCCCTGTGGCACCTGCACTTTGGGGCCCCCGCCGGACACCTTGGAGATGTAGCTCATGATGAATTTGGCCGCCACGGTCTTGCCAGCACCGCTCTCCCCGCTGCAAGAGAGAAGGGTGAACGCTGGCTTCTCCGCCCCGCCAGGGAGGACACCCCACCCTAGCCCGGCCCCTGCTGGAGGTCAGGGAGCCTGGGAGAAGCTGGTTGGTTGCATCTACGTTTTCCTGTCCTGCTCAAAGCCAGACAGTGACGCTCCTTTAAAGGAGGCAGGATGGCCCAGTGGTCAGGGCACCAGTTTCGAACTCGGGCTCAGCTCTCTGCTCCATCAGTCTCTTAGCTTCTCTCAGTTCCTCAGATGCCCGTCTGTAGCCTGCAGGGAACAGTCCTGACCCACGGGGGGGTTACTGGGATAAATACGGTAACAACTGGGAGGTGCTCAGGTACTCTGGTAACAAGGCAGAGACAGAGCTTCCTCCCCGAATATGGGCGAGGAGGGTGGGTGTTGGGACCCGCCCCAGCAGGCATCAGCTCCTGCCTGGCGTCCATACCCACCCTGCAGGAACTGCAGGACCGTGCCTCAATTTCCCCATCAGTAAAATGTAGAGACCGACACTAGGTTGTCATGGGGGGAGGAGGGGGCTTTCCCAGCAGTCTCTGCCATTGCGCTGGAGGGCTACAGCCAGCCAGACGCAGAGCCACACCACACTGGCACCCCCCGTGTGTGACCTGGCCGTCAGACCTTAGAACTAGAACTTGGCACATGCCAAGATGTGGACCCTGCATCTGCCCCCCGCCCCTTCTGGGCTCCAGATGTGGACCCTGCTTCTGCCCCCTCCCTCCCTCTTGCCCTAGTGGATTCTGCCCCTCTTCGCGGCTCCGCCCTACCTGATGATGACGCACTGGTTCTCCCCGTCGATCAGCATGTTGCGGTACATGTTATCGGCCAGGGCATAGATGTGGGGCGGGTTCTCGTACTGGGCCTGCAACCAACACACAGGCAGGAGACTCGGTTATGCCACCGTGCAGGACAATTGTACACAGGGAGGTGGCAGGGGAGGAGACAGGGCTAGGCTGAAACCCCCTTCAACTCATCACACTGGTGAGCCAAGCCAGGAGGCGACCCCAGCTCTCTAGTTATTTGTCTTGGGTGGCACTGGGGGGCCCCCGTTGCGGTGGGGAGGCTGTACAAACACAGCGAACACAGTTCCTGCCCCAAAGAACTTACAGTCCGTGTCAGAGCGCCAGGGACCTTTGGTTCCCATCCTTCCACCAGCTCTGGTGAGCGCTTGGCAAACAAAACGCACAAGAGACTTGCTAAGGGCTTAAGGGACACAGTGACCTCAAAATGACACAGGGCTTAGGGGGCAGAGGACGAGGTCTCCCAAATCATGCTATCCCGTTGCCTTCCTCCCAAGGATCTCAAAACACTTCACAGACATTAATTAACCCTCGCAGGGATGGTGGATCAGTGCCACCCCTATTTCACAGATGGGGAAACTGAGGCTCGGAACGGGGAAATGACTTGCGCAAGGTCAGCGGCTGAGCTGGGAAGAGAACCCAGGAGTCTTGTGTCAGCCTCCCCGCACATCCCTTGGCCAGCCTAGACCCCTGCGTCCCTGGAAACAGCCTTGTTGGGAACTAGTGGGCTGATCTAGCCAGCTCTCCCCGGGCCTCTCGCAAAGCCGTTGGTTAGATCTCCGTCTCAGCACCTCCACAGCTACGCCGGGGGATAGCGCCTGCCTCGAATCCGTCCACAGATCTCAAGCCCCGAGCCGCACCCTTGGAGAGGAGATGCCAGCAGATCAGGAGCGTGGCGGGCGCACGGTCCCCTTGCAGGGGCTCAGCACTCTGCTGTGAACGCCGCGGCAATGGGGCCCGGACCACAACGGCTCTTAGGACAGTAACAAGGCTGCAGGGTTTTCAGGAGGGGAATCGGGAACTGCAGTGAACATAGGGCGGCTGCCGCTGAAACAGCAAAGTAATTGGAGCACCGGACGCCTCTTTGGGATCTAGCTAGGACGCCAAGCAGGGAAGGTCTCTGCACCTGCCACTAGGGGGCAGGCTGGGAGCAAGGCAGCTCCCATGGGGAGGGGAGATGGGGTGCTGCAGGCACCGGCGGATCCAGTTGCTGATCTCACCTTGGGAGCGGGGCGTGGATCACACATGCCCCCTCGGCATCCCGGCAGCAGGGCAGGGCTCCCAGCTGGAAATTCCTGCCTGGGTGACTCACCAGCTTCAGGAATTATCTTCCCCTCCCAAGGGCAGAAGGGGCCTTTCCCAGCCGGGATTCACTCCCGGGGCTCCTTGTGGGTCACCCCGCTGCATGCACCCCCTCGCAGGCCAGGCACTGATGGGGAAACCCTTCTTCAAACTACAGCCAACCCTTTTAGCCAAGCCAGGCTTAACCAACGTTTTCACTCAGCATATGCCCGGGGATCTGCCTGGAGCCTGCTCCAGGAGACACCAGAGCTGGGCGGCCCTGGGCTGGCTGCTGAAGAGTGGCGTCCTATCAGAAATCTCGTCCCCCCGGAGGTACTTACAGACGGAGATCATATTGTGATCCTTTTCTTTGGTAAACTAAATAGATTAACTCCCTCCCTAGAAGGCAGGTTTTCTAGATATTGAATAATTCTTCTAGCTGTTTTCTGAACTTTCTCCTATTTGCCAACAGCCAGTTGGAAGTGTGGGCCCCAGAACTGGACACAGTAATGGTCTCCCACATGCGCTATATGCCCATTTACCCAGACTGCCACATTACCCCCCTCCCTTCCTTGTCCCCCAGAATGAGATACAAGATACACTCACGCTGTGGGACAAGGGCAGGATCCGGACAATGTGAAGGTCTGGATAACAGGGCAGAGATCCACAGCTGTGGGGGAGGCCAGCCTGATGCTGAATGGCTCCTGCCATCTCCATGATCTGATTCAAATCCATGTCCCCACACCCTGCTATCTGATAATTACCCTGCATAGAGGTACCCCTGCTCCCACTCGACAGCCCCTGCTGCAGGGAGGGGGTCACAGGGAAACTGGAACCCCCGGTGGGATGTTTTGGAGGCCGTTTCCCCACTTACTCCCCGGCCCGCCCCGGCCTGCCATTACTCACGGCTCCCTGGTACATGTCAATCTCGCGATCGGTGAAGTAGGGCAGCTGTTTGAAAGGGTTGACGGAGATGAGGACCGGTCCGATGTACGTCTGGGGTTTCCGAGATAAGGATCGACCAGCGACAATAGGAAGCGGAAGGAGCAATGGAAAAGAACCCAGCGTTCTTCAGAACCCGATCCAGAGCCACCAGTCCCACACAGCCCACCCCGTATTTAAAGGGCCACACACGGTTACTACATAAAATCACAATCACCCCCCCATCGAATCCGCACAACAGCAGACACACGGACATTGCTACCTGCCGGTAAATTGTGCACCATGTCTCTTTCTAGGGTAATAGCCTACTACCTCTTACCAGCTAACAGAATTCCCCCTTTCACTCAAGTGGTGGAGGGACATGCTGTGGTGGGTTCAGTCCCACACAAGGGGTCATTACAACCTCACAGCAACCCGTGCATTATAAACGCCCATCAGGCAGATGTACCTGACAAGCAAGAGCCCCTGCATTTACAATTAAACTCCCTACCTGGCCATTAATAAAAGCACCCAGGATTATTCAACATACAGAAGAAATTTGCAGCATCTCTGTTACTCATCCCCATCAATGCAGGTTGATCACCCCCCACCCCTTCCACTCCACTTTCCTCCTTTGGAGCAGTGAGATCGGCTCCCAATTTGCGTTTGCTCCTAGTCAGTTTCATTATCCAGTCCCCAGGCTCAAGGCTGTGGCGTGTGTTTGTGGCACAGCGGAAACTAAGAGGTCCAGCAGGAAGGGGACTAAGGAGAGACCTGGATCCAGGCTGAGATTAGGAGTAGAGCTGGATGGAAAGTTTTCGACCAGTTTTCATCGGAAAACACCATCTACTCAAAATTGAAGGGTTTTTTTTTGCACAGTCATCTCAATTTCCATTAAGTCCCATTTGGGGGGAGCGATAGCTCAGTGGTTTGAGCATTGGCCTGCTAAACCCAGGGTTGTGAGTTCAATCCTTGAGGGGGCCATTTGGGATCTGGGGCAAAAATTGGGGATTGGTCCTGCTTTGAACAGGGGGTTGGACTAGATGACCTCCTGAGGTCCCTTCCAACCCTGATATTCTATGATTCTGTGAAGTCTCATGAAAAAAATTGGAAAATGTTTCAAAAATCTCAAACCTGTCCTGTCTGGACATTTTCAGAAACGTTCCAATTTTTCGTTTCAGAATGACAGTCGAGTTTGAAATTTTCTCTATTTTATCTTTAAAAAGTAAAAGGGTCAAAACCGACATGAAATGTTTTCATTGACCCCAAATGATTTTTTTTCCTTCAGAATTTCGTTTTGCAAATTTTTTTGAAATTTTGGCTTTTCATCGTAATTCGGGATGAAACAAAACCCTGAAACCTCCAAATTTTTCATGAGACAGAAAATCTGTTTTCCAACCAGCTCTAATTAGGGGATTCTCTGAGTAAAATACTGAATTTGGTCCCGTCCATCCATCAAGGCAGCACGGATTAGGGATAGTTTCTGGATAAGCACTCAGGATGCCTGAGTTCTATTTCTGTCTCTACAGCCCTACTGGGTGACTTCGGGCATTTACATTCCTGCTCTGTGACTCAGTTTCCCCTCCCCACCTTTTGTCTATCATGCCTATTCAAACTATGAGCTTTCCTGGGCAGGGACTGTCTCTCACTCTGCGGCTCTGCCTGGGCCCAGCCCAACAGGGCTCTGATCTCACTGGGGCCGCTACCAAGAGACAAATTATACTAATAATCCGTCACGATACTGATACGATCATTAAAAGCATCTCACTGATGCCTGAGACCCCTAGATTGCTCCATGTGTTATCCTGGCAATGGGCTGACCCAGAACCAGCCAATCCTGGGGGAGCTGGGGCTTGACCCCCACCCCCATTTCCCAATTATCCCCATGCAGTTTTGCAAACTGCTGTCCCTTTGGGCCAGGGAGCAATCGGTGTTTCCCCCCACCCCGAGTTCCTGGCGTCGCCCTCCCTTCTTCCGGCCTGGCCCGGCCAGGATACGAAGATGTAATCATCCAGGAAGCGCTTCTTGAGGTTCTCCACGATGGCATCCTCGCTGATCTTGGCCAGCAGCACCATGTCGTCCACCCCGCTGTGCTTGACATTCTGCGCCTGCCAATGGTAGCGCTCCTTGCTGCCCTGCGCGGGGAGGGGAACACAACGGGACAGGTCACAGGACTGGCAAAGCTCAGGCCAGGGGGGGCTCGGGGGAAACCAGTGCTCAGCAAACACGGTGCCCTCGGCTGCCTCTGTCGGGTTCCGCTCCAGACAGGGAGGGGATGGCTTCGGGCTGCTAAGCTGGTGGTTTGGGCCGTGAGAGTCCGGCACCAGGCTGGCAATCAGGGGATTTAGGTTCATGGACAGCCTGGGAGAGTCACATGATCTCTCTGGGCCTTGGTTTCCCATCCATAAAACAGGGATCCCCTTCCCCGGCTTCGTCTGTCTCAATCATGGGCTCTGCGGGACAGGAACGGTCTCTGTGTCTGTGCAGCGCCTGGCCCAGTAGAGCCCCAATCTCATCTGGGTCTTCTATTCTCTGTATTACGGTAGCGCCAGGGCACCCCAGTCACAGACCAGAAACCCACTGTGCTAGGCCCAGTACATTACTTATTAGGTGTATTACGGTAGCCCCTAGGAGCCAATCATGGACCAGGATCCCATGGTGCTAGGCACTGTACATTATTTATTAGGTGTATTACGGTAACACTTAGGAGCCCCAGTCATGAACCAGGACGGCATGGCACTAGGCGTTCTATGTTATTTATTAGGTGTATTACAGTTGCGCCTAGGAGCTGAGTCACAGACCAGGACCACAGAGTGCTAGGCGCTGTACAAACACAGACCGGACTGTCCCTGCCCCAAAGGCTGTGCAGCGTAGATGCTATCATGAAAGCCAAAGCCTTGTCTGGTCTCCACGAGTACTCAAGACCCCTTGGCCCTTTGCCGTTTTCCCAGGGCCCTAAGGCCAAACTCCTCTGCTTCATCCTACGTGACTGGCCGTGCTCCACCCTAGAAGAGGCTGCATGATGCCCGGGTGTCTGTAGCTTATAGAGAGACATGCAGGACGACGATGTTACAAAGACCAAGAGGATGTAAAGCTATGATCAGCCTCTGCCTTAGCACCAAGGCATGACCTGCGTGTGTGTGTGTCTCTCTCTCTCTCTCTCTCTCTCTCACACACACAAAAATTTATCTCGTTTTAGCAAGACTTTGGGGTCTCGCCCTCCATCCGGCACCAACAAAGAACTCCGCTCTCTCTTTTCCTTCTTCTGGCCAGGAATTCCCATCGTCTTGCCAGCCCCAGGGGTTCAAAAACCAGGAGCTGAGCCCATAAAAATCATGAGATTGGCTTTAAAATAATGAGATTTAATAAACAAAGAAATGCTGGGCCATGTTTTCTGAGCCTTTAGAGAGTTTTGCTTCCAAGTTTTTCTGCATAAGCACGGGGGCCAGAAACCTGCCGTTAGAAAAGAAATAAATTAAAGCTCAGATTCTCAAGCGCTCGTATGACTCCAGGAGCCGGGACTTGAAGAAAAACTAACCCTATATTGCAATACGCATGGTAAAATGGCAAAAGTTGGCAACCCTGCAAGTGCTGTATCCCGAACTTGGTGCATGGCTCTGGGCAAGTCACCCCCCTCTCCCTCCATGGGTGTGCCTCAGTTTCCCCACCTATACCATAGCAAAGGTGCTACTGACCCTCCTTTGCAGAGGCTGCTGCAGCCCTGCCAGGTGTTGTTAACAACCCGAGTGCAGCATGAGGGTTTGACTTTCCCCTCTCTGCCAATCTCCATTATTAATCGACAGACGCTTTGCCCTTGATTTCAGCTGGGAGAGAAACTGACCCAGACGGATGGAAATAGAATCCTCCCGGCAGTGCAAACTGCTCACAATCTAGTGGTTTTGCCCAGTGGGCAGGGAAGGCTGGGATGTAGGGTAGTGGCAAAGGGAACCGCAATTCTTGCCCCCCTGGGTTAACAGCTGGGAGGAGCCGGAGTACCCCAGGATGAGATGCGAGGGACGGGGGAAGAGAGAGTGAGCGTGTGTGTGTGTGTTGTTTGGGCTATGTGTGCGCACACGACTGCCCCCCACAAAAACAGACAACCCACAATCCACTTCTCCCCTCCACACTTCCTCGCTGCATCAGCACAGAAGATGGGTGGCTCTGCCCTGCCCCCTCCCCAGGCCGGGTGACTGCGATCAAACCCCCCATCCCCGCTCTGAGCCAGCGAGGAAACTTCAGACAGGCTCCTGGCTGTTGCCAAGCGCTCCGTCCCCCGGCCCACTCAGACAATGCGAGCGGCCAGTTGCTACGCGACCGATGCTGGTGGCACTTGCGGAGGGAAGGGATGGCAGCGAGAGGAGGGGCAGCGCGGGGGGAACGCTGCAGAGGCTCTGGTCAAGGCTAGGACGATGCTCTCCTTGCGGGTGCTTGACCGGGCCTCCCCGGCCTGCATGGAGCAGGGTCAGACAGCCGGGCATGATCGCTGCTTGCTACTCTGATCATAGCTGTGGTACTGCCGGCCCTCCCGCAGTATTGGGGGGGGGGGGTTAATTCAATCCCCAGCTCCCCGAGTCACGTGAGATTCTGTTTCCTTTAAGAAAACCCAAGTTTCTTATTTGTCCCCCATCTCCATAGCATCTAAACACCTCACACTCTTCAGTGTGTCTACCCTCCCAGCCCCCCAGGAGGCAGGGCAGCGCGCTTATCCCCATTGTACAGAGGGGAAGACTGTGGCACAAAGTGACTGATTCACGGTTAGTCAGTGACAGAGCAAGGCATTGAACCCAGGACTCCTGAGGCCAAGGCTGGCACCCGAACCACGGAGCCCTCCCACCTCCCTGTGGAAAGCTTGGCACGAGGCCTGAAGGCTCAAGCAGCCGGCGGCAAATAAAAAGAAACCCAACGTTTATTTTTATTTTTTTAAATCTGCAGAACCTTTACAGCCAATCTGGTGATTTGCGGGGAGCGACCCCTGGTGCATGAACGCTTGGGAGTGACCCCTGCCTCGTTCTCCCCATGTGCTGCCCCAGCTCTAGAGCATGCGGAGTAAATAGGGGGAACAAATATGACCTATTTGGATGGTGGCAGGGCCCTGTGGCGCTCGGTGCCAGCCAAAGGGGGAGCAGACAGAGAGGCCCTGCCGCAGATACCACAAACCGAGAGCTCGTCAGGGGGAGGGGACATAAACCCTTGGGGGCACTGGCCAAGCACTAGTTCCGCTCTGCCCCAAAGGCCGGGATGGGTCTCAAGGCCAAGCTGGGCCAGGACACAGAAAGCGTCTAAGGCGGATAAGACTTGAACGCAGGGCAGGGCTGGGAGCAGACGCGATTAGCTTCGCTCTCCCACGGGGAGGACAGCATGCAGCAGTCCAAAGTTGGGGGACCCCTGCCCTAATTAAAGGGAGGCTTGGAAAAGTCGCCCTGGGGTGGGCTAGCCCGGCACCGCGGGGTTCCTCTGAGCCAGCTGGTGCCAGCCGCCACCAGAGGCGGGAGACTGGGCTGGGGTGGAGCTGTGGGCCGACAGTGCCTGGGTTTGCTCTGCTCTTGTCCTAAATTTAGGGGGTCAGCTCGTTGGGGCAGGGAGCAGCCCCGTTCCGATCCCAGCCCGGATGGGGCCAGGGCAGGCAGGGCCCTCCCAGGGTGGTCTGAGCTCAGAGAGCTGCTCAGAACACTTGCTGCCCCGAGGACAGATTTTGCTCCTCAATCCAGAGCACCCCAGCTTCCCCGAGCGGCAGCATATGCCTGGCATGTGGGCAGGGCTGGTGGAAGGGCCTTCGTGCCACCACGGAGTGTCGCAGGTAGCTGGTGAGACCCCAGGGCTAGCGACTGTACCTAGTGATGTCAGCCCTACCACCCCTTTGCCGCATAACGAGCCCATGGCCTGGCCACCGGTGGGTAGGACGCTTCGGTGACAGCGTACCAGCCTCCCCAAGCGAGGAGGGCGTCTCAGGCCGGGCCCACCCCCGTGGGCAATCTGGAGCTCTGGCCATGTTAAGTCTCAGCAGGCCTGTGAGAAGGGAAGTGCTATTGCCAGGCTGCCAAGGGGGAAACTGAGGCATGCAGGAAGGAAGTGACGCACTTGCACGAGGTTCTAATGTGAGTCAGTGGCAGAGCCAGGAAAAGAACTACGGGCCCTTATTCTCGGCTCAGCGTTCTAACCACTCAACCACACTTCCTACCCACAGGCAGGAAATGAACCCAGGAGTCCCGATTTCCAGACCCCCAGCCTCCACCACCAGACCCCTCACCCTCAAAGCAGGGACTAGACCTCAAGGAGTCCTGCCTCCCTGTCCCTCCCTGCTCTAACCACTAAACCACGCTGCATTCCTACTGCCTCACCCTTTTCAGCGTCTCCACTCCCTCAGCCAAGAGCCAGCCCCGTATCATATGGTTGTGAAACTGCCTTCTCCAGTGGCGTTATTCATTAACCCGAGCTGGGCGTGTGGGCAAGATCCCAGACCAGCTCAGGAAAACTCCCAGGAGAACTTCACTGCACTCCAAGGAATGCATCACAGTGCCACCCTGAACGTCCCACAGCGTCCCTGAAATCCAGAGCGGCTCCACGCCTCACGTCCACACAGCCGCGAATGCAAGCCTGCCTACCCGGGGACACAACGCCGAGAAGGGCTCAGCCGCAATAGCACCTCGCTTCAGCCTCTGCGGGTTACTAACCCCAGCAAAACCCCACACCTTGGGGAGGTCCTACAACAGGGCCAATCCCGCTACAAGGATTAACGAAAGGCAGCATGGTCCAGTGAGTAGAGCGCAGGGCTGGGCCTCAGGACACCTGGGTTCTGTTCCTGACTCTGGCCTGCTGGGTGATTTTGGGCAAGTCCCACCTGTGCTCTGTGCCTCTGTTTCCCCTCCCACCCAGTGTCTGTCTGGAACTATTTGTCATCTTGCTGCCGTAGCGCCTAGAAGCCATGGTGCCAGGGACTGTACAGACTTTCCCTGTCCCAAAGGGTTTAGAACCTAAACACATCTGTGCGATCTCAGTTGGGAGTGGGGTGTGCAGCACCTGGCACGATGGGGGGCGGGGAGGGTATGACCGAATTTTGGTTGGGGTTTGTGCATGAGCATCAAGGGGCCCCAATCTCAGTTGGGGGGAGGGGGTCTCTGCAGGGTCCCACATAATG